GACCCTTTTTGGCCCCGCCCCTCAGGCCCCTGGGGGCTTAGGACTAAACCGGCAACTATTTTTGTTGACCTTTGTCCATGGAAGGTCCCTGCAAAATTTCATTGAAATTGGTTCAGGGGTTTTGGAGGAGAAGATTTTTGAAATTTTAGTCAATTTGACCCTTTTTGGCCCCGCCCCTCAGGCCCCTGGGGGTTTAGGACTAAAGCGGCAACTATTTTTGTTGACCTTTGCGGACGACGACGGACAAAAGGCGATCGCAATAGGTCACTTGAGACTTTGTCTCAGGTGACCTAAAAAAGTCTTGAAGCACCAACAAAGAGATAAATTCAACGGAAATCAGTTCCAGAATTTTCCGGTTATTTCCAGATGAAGGCCGATGGATTGTGACGTCATAATATGATAATCTCTGAACGAAGTTTCATGCCTGTTAGTATCACATTTTATGTGATAGACCTTTTTCACTCAGAATGAATATTATTTTTTATCTAAATAAACAAGAAATAAAATATGAATATTGTTTTCACTATATGAAGATATTCATGCATAGGTTGAAACACAATTGTCTTTACTTCAAGGATACACTTCCTGTTCCCCCACTAGACGTCTATTTCCGGACGCAAAAAGATTAAAGGCAACGTGCAGAAAGGGGAAGCAACTCTGTATACACACGCATGTATTACCATTAAAGAGCTTCGCTAAATAATTGTGAAACATATCATTTTCAACAAAACAGAAGTAAGAAGTGTTACAATCTGATGCGTAGAAGATAATTTTTACAGGCAGATACTAGCATGCTTATGTCCTGTTTGCTCTCAAGGATCATTTTCAAAAAGCTTGCCCTGAACAGCTTAATATCAGATTTACTACCAAAGATATTACTACCAAAGATATTATCAAACTGAGATACATATGAGTAACAAATACATTGTATTTCAATTCTTTTAAATCAAATTTATGTAAAGTGACTAAAATATCAATCTAAAAAACTTCTATAAAAATGTTAGGAAAAATAGTCTATTTTGGTAAAAGAGCAGACATTTAAAGCTAACAATGCTTTGACCAGACAGCTAAGTCTAGAAATCAAATGTGCTATCAATAGCTCTAGTGTAAGCTTGAGTACTTTGTGTAAGCGCACTCAAGCATTTAATTTCAGGGGAATGGCAGTGTTATCTGCCTTTAAAAGCAAGGATATTAACATTATGACCACATCTAAAACTGATTTTTACACCTTATATCATTTTTTGAATAAAATACACAATATACCAGAGTGTAAACTTTACACAAATTTTATATTATCATCATAATTTTGGTAATAAAATATTTTCTAGAGATTGAGAAATTAGAACTGAAATTGCCCTCTATGTAAATTGATGTAGAGCTGTTTAACTACATTGTCAATATTGGGGTATAAAAGGCGATTGTTGAGCATTGTAGATTGGGAGGTCCGCTGCCATGAACTGCCATGAGATCCTCTCTCTTTATGAAATATTCCAACGGGATATGCAGATTAAATTGACTTGACCTCATCATGGTGTCTCTTGACTTCCTTTTGGAATTTTAAATTGATTCCAATATCTCGATCTTTACTTGGTAAACCTGTGGTAAGTTTCTAATTTGATAAAAGTTTTGGAGCTGTAATTCACCATTCCTATATAATTATCAAATGTTTTTCTTTTATTTAACCCTATTTAAGTCCAGTTTTTCTAGCAAGATAATGACCTCTTAAAATTATTGGGCTATATTTGTTATTCCACAATAATTCAATACTGCCTTGGGTGGTTGGGTGGTGCAGTGGATAACACACTCACCTTTCACCAAGCCTCCCACATTAAGACCCCTACTCACTAACATCCGGATTTATCATTGTTGTAAAATAACAAAAGTTTATATATACTGACTTGAAAGTGGGATTTTTTTTTTCAGACAAGAGGTTCATAGGGCCTGTAACACTAAACAGTATCTTCTTATGTAAGGTGACTAGACAAAAGGTTGAAATGTTTCTACTAACTTGAGACTATGGCAGCCATCTCATATTTCTTATTGGCCAAAATAATCAAAATAACAGCACTTGGCGAGGGCAATGACAGACCACTTGTATATTATTTAGTTAAAACTGATCTAGTGGAGTTTAGAATAAAATATGTCTCCGTTAATCTGCCAGAAAAAAGGGTGGCATCAACCCAATAAATAATAATACCTGTTCAGGACCAAGAGAGCATCAGTCAAATCAACTTTCGTCACCATTATTAGCCTTGTAGAAATTGAAAAGAAGCTCAAAATCTTCCAGCAAATCAAAGGCCAAGTTGGAAATACTGGATTTTAAATGAGCCTAAAAATCGACATTGGGTCTTGAGATGTCTGATGATCATTTGCATCATATTTTGTAAACAATTACAAACTTATTTAACCTGGAGAAGACTTCCAAAGATTAAATTCTACTGTACAAACAATTTTATTGTACCTCTGCTTCTGAAAACTAAATCATTGAAACTGCGACAAAGAGCAATATTTTCACATGTTGCTTTCATTCACAGAAAACTGCAACCAAATGCCACTGTATCCTTTTTGTTTGGGAAAGCACTGTCACAACTGTTTCATCTTCTGCCATGTTGTTTACACTTTGTATCATTCAGGCTCCTGAATGAGGCTGTGATTTTAAGTACCCAACCATCCAATATATGAAATGAACCAAATAACAAGCCATGAGATGATTGGGAAATTTTTACGTTTTGAAAATGTCTTCAGTTTTGATTTACAGATAATGCATAACATTGTACAACCAGGTAACATATAAAAGAAAATATCAGAAAACTGGCTCACTGATCTATATCGCAATAAGTGCTCCAGAGCATAAGCTTACATGGCCTTAAGGGTTAGGTGAACTATAAAACGCTCACTAACTTCCATACCTAAAAGCAAGCTGTTAAGGTTGTTGAGATGTCTTGTAATGGTTTGTAATTCTACTCCATCCAGAAATACACCTTCACAGAAGGAACCAATTACTATATATTACCTGCCAATTTTTTCAAAATTTACAAAGATAAGACATCACATTGGATCTATCAACCCCTTTTAGAGTTCCATTAAACAAGTTAACAATTGAGAATATCCCCATCTCCTTCCAAATATGTGATTATAAAATTCCCAATTTGCAAAAAGGATTGAGAAATTCTCAATGTATTAACATTTAAAATTCCTAATTTCCTAACACTTCCACCTAATTATAATTGGCACCTAGGATCCATTTCACAAAGTACCATCTGTAATTCTTGCATCAATGAACAAAATTTACCATTGGGTAGTCCAATCTCCTGACTGTAGCGTGAGTCAATAGTAGCTAAACCAAGACGTATGAGGTCCATGTTGACACAGACTTCCTCTTCGTCCTCTGAACCGACCAAGAACACCTTCAGGATACCAGAGTCCACCATTCCACAAGCTGGTTTTCTGTCAAAATTTGCAGTGCATATTTTTACCATAAAAGACTACCGACAGGTTTTGTTTAGTTTTGTTAACATACATGTATAAACACTCTAGATCTACTTATCCAAATGTTTAAAGTCAATCCTAGAGATTGTGTACCCATGATAAGTACTGTCCGCAGTAAAGATTTTTTCTCAATGTAATATTCAGAGAATAAACAAAAGCTGAAAATGAACGCCAAGTTTCATCAAAATCTGACCGATGGTTTCTGAGGAGAAGGGGAAATATGATAGTTCATACAGGACACTTGATACACAAATTCAGTAAGATGTTCCAGCATGTTTGTATTCTAAAACATGAAATTGTACACCTCTGTATAAAAATAATTCATCTTAAAACTGCTAAAAATCATTAAAATAATGTCAAATGTATCCCCTTGACAAGGAATACACTTTGGACTAAATGAGTTATTATGCCTGTTGTGAGCTTATTACTTTTGCCCTCTGAGATTCATTATAAATAAATACTGTATGGTCAACTTACCTTTTCATATCAAAGCAGAGGGTGCCTGACAGGACTATCATCTGTATAGGGTTTTCAAACCCAACTTGTTTGATGAACTCCTGTGTGACATTTGCTGGCCAGAGAGCATCACTATCTTGTGATGTCACTACAGGTTTGATGTATGCAAGAGAGCAGCTCAGAGCTAGTGGAGGGGTATCCTTGAACTCTTCAGGAAGTGGGAACAGTTTCCATCGTGGCACCCACTCCCGATCTCCAAAGTCCAGGTAAAACACATGTACTTTTGAGGCAGAAGAGGAACTCTCACTTGCAACAACTTCTGTCACAACTGCCCTGTAGAAAAAATTATCCCCTGAAAATCGGGCACAGCACAAATCATCAAGGTCTGGTGTGTAACTTCTGTTGAGCTGTTGTAAATTCTTCCTACCAATCTGTTCAAAATGGTAGTTCAAGTTTTTCATCATATTGTCCAGTGTTTTGCCAACCGTCTCAGAAACTATATGGATGTAGAAGTGCTCTGGTGATACAGCGTGTGACAACATCACATTGAAACATTTTGAGCATAAGTCAATGTTTCTGTATGAGGAGTTCTCTGAAGTTGTCTCCCCCTGATTTGCTGCTGGTACAGAGCAACCCTCTGATGATATCACAGACAGTTGTTCATCACTCTGTAAAATGTTGGGAATCTTGATGTTGGCTAATGGCAGGTTAGCCAGGAAGTCTGCAATACTTTGAGTTTCATTGGCAGTGGTGGAAGTGCTGCTGTTGTCTGGGACAGAGCTTTGAGGAGTTGGAGTTGTGAAAATGTTTCCCCTATCTTCCTCTGAATTTTGATCATCTTCGCTTGCTTTTTTCACATTTGTGCTGTCTTCTTTTTGATTTGGCTGTGCTACATCTGAACTGACCTGTTCCTGGCTAGGCAACACTGCAATATTTTGTTTGTCTTCTTCCTGCCTTTGGTCACAACCATCATGCTTGCTATGCCCAGTATCTGCCTCTCTCGGCTGCAGTACAGCTGGTCCTGTGTCGTGCAATACTATACCAGTGTTTGGTCCTACTTTATGATGAGAACCACCTCCTGATGTGACTTTGTGTTGTGTGGCTGACTCTATCTGCACAAATCCTCCTTGCTTGACTTTCTCCATGGTATCCTGAGTACCTGATTCCGGAGTGACACCAGAAGCTGCAGCCACAATGCTCTTTACAGACATCACTTTGTTTTTATGAGCAGCTACTTTAGGTCTAGGCAGTTTCATTGGTCGAGGAATTTTACCTTTTTCAGTTAATAAAGAAGTTTGACCAGATGAAGTAGCAGTATTCGACTGTTGTGGTACTCTCCCTTTGTCAGACATTTGTTTGACCGTTATTTTACCTGGCAGTGGCTGTGAAGTCGAAACAGATGGTTTATACATCCTGCGTAATGCTTCTATCTGGTCTATGATGGCAGTGTCACGAGCACGACCCTGGTTGACGAGGACGGTGGCAATGTTGACGGTAGAGACTGTGTTGTGAATGTAAAGCTGCCCCCCAGTGACGGTTGGGCGGGGAACATACAGGTATAGCTCTATCAGCTGTGGCAGGCCCTCCTCAGTCCCACCCACGTACACACAACTGAAGTTCTGACTATACACAAACTGGGTAAAAGCTGAAATGTCATCCTCCGTCCAGACATTGTACTTGTTTACAGGTGCAACCTGAAAAATATAATCAGGTTGGTAACACTCAACTAAGACACATTTAAGTCACTCCACTAATTACAAAACAAGCTAATGAAGGAACTGTATACAGGAGTGGTAGTTCCACATATATTGAGGTTCTCCTGATGAGCCGCTAACTATCATGTATATCTGAGATTGCATGAACAATATATACACTAGTTTTGTTTACATGGGACAGAATAAACTCTCTGGGTTATAGAATTGGACAACCTTCTCAATAATGTCACATAATTTTGTCTGGTGTTTTTTGCTGGACATACAAAACTGAAATCCTTAGGTTGAAATATACCTACCTTGGCCAGAGCACACTGTATTGCCTGTATAGGGAGACTGGTGAATCTCTCGGGGAGTTCTCGCAGGTGGGCAGATGTACCCTCTTCTCTGTTGCCATAGTCAACATACAGGATGTCTACTGGTACCTCCGTATCTAAATCACAACCAATACTGTTACAGTTACCTACAAACAAGGCAAGAGTCTATCATATGTAGGTATGCATAAGGACATTCTATGTATACCCGAGGGTGTAGAATTCGGGTCAGAACTGAGGCGTCAAATTATGTTCCGACCTAAATTCTACACCAATGGTCTAAGGTAGAATATCCATATCCCATCTACCTACATAATGATGGATTTTTTTTCCTCCGTCTTAAAACTGAAATTTTGGTACAACATGATATCGACAATACAAATGCAACACTTAATATAGCTAAATCTCTAGATAAAATATACACAAGTTAAGGCAATATCTAGAAAAGGCAAAGAAAAGTGTGGTATGCCTCAAATTTAAAGATCCATGCAAGACCTTCAGGGCAAAGTTTTCATCAATTCTGATGTTCTTAAGATAGTGTTAGTTGCTGATTGCAAGATTGGCACAGTCGGTCAAATGACTTTCTGGCGGGTATTCAATTGTGACTTCATATTTAAATGCCGTTATCTGGTTCTGACATCACAATAGCACAGGCCACTGTGTTCTTAAGTGGAATACACATATTCCACAAGGGTGTTTCACATGGGACACATGTATCTTTCAATGTAAAGTTGGGAGAAAAGAACTCCTAAGACACTAAAGCACAATTGAAGTTTTAACCCAGACAGAAATGCAATAATTTCCACTGAATTTTCCTTGAACAGTTGAAAGATTAATTTACCCTTTCCAATAAATCTGAACTGATTAAAAAAATGTTTATAAAGATTCTCTTTTCCCCCCCCAGGAAATAACAAAGGGGCATAACCTTTTTCGGTTTCTTTACAATATGCACTCTTTCAGATATGTATGGAACTTCAAATCGTTTATAAGTTTGTACATCGTTGAATGGATGCGATCAGTTAGAGTGAAAATAACTTTCATTTAATTTCCCAATTATAAAGTACCCGTTCAAGACTGCATACGCTATAGTTAATTTTATGATAGCCGCCTGAGCTTGGACTTTGCTGCCTACCCCACTTCTTACCAAAAACTGAAAATGAATAAAGCGTACCTTGTGTGGGGTACACCTGCATCACTCTAGCCCTGTAGTATAGCCCATCTTGTGAGAATTTAGCCAAACATGTCATATTCTTTTCTGGTTTCTTTATCAGATTCTTATCCTCTCCATGTTTGATCATGTAGGAACTACAACATAAAATGGAATTAATTCCAGTGATAAGAGAAAGTAGTGTTGGGAATCGGTTGAGATTTCAACATCGATGATCGGATATAAGCCTAGCCTACCGTTACATAACCCTTAATTTTTTGAATTTTTTTTTTCAACAATGGCATGGCTTTTCCTTTTAATAATACTACTAATGAAATTTCAACTTTGAAGCAAACCCTAAGACTTTTTTTTTGCAATTAATCATGTTTAAATAGCATGATTGGTAAGAAGTTACAGTTAAGAGTAACATGACATAGCTAGAACTATTAGTAAAAATGAAAGTAAAACTCGCACTTCCGGTTTTGAAAACAATCATCGATGTTGACCATCTCATAATCGACTGTCGGGAACCGGTTGCCTTTCCGATTAGATATCGATTATAATCGATCATCGGGACAACACTATGTCAAAGTAATGTTTTTAACACAAATTTTAGACTTCTGTTTTTTAAGATAATTTCTGGAAACAAATAATGGATGACAAGACAGATACTGCAATAAATATAGGGCACTTGCACCTCTGAAGCTAGATTGAAATAACAAACTTACAAGATCTGCTCCATGAGTTTGTCCAGCCCAAACCCGACCTGCTGGATGTAGAACTTCCAGGGTGATGTGGGTTCCAGCACCTCCACTGTAACAGGTTGTCCTACACACAACTCTGCATGAGCTAGGGTAGGCCCTAGTCCATACGGTAACCCCTCTTCAAATGTAGCTTGACATAAGTTCTGTTTGGGTGTCAAGACCGTATCAAAACTGTGAGAAGTCTGTGGTGATACAGCAGAGGATTTGTCCACAGAAGATGTAGTTGTTGGTAGACTTACATATGCATTTACATTGGAGTCACAATCATTCCTTGCATCGTACACCTCTTCCGTTTTTATTTCCGATGTTACTAACTTTGTATTTTCAGAGGCGTTTGGCTTGTCTAATTTGTTTAAAAAATCCTCCACATTAAGCAAATTCTCTTTAGCATTGTGAGCCGATACATTGAAATTCTGAGGTGGCACATTGGCGTTTTGTGTTGACATACTGATATTTTCTGATGAACAGTTATTGTTTTCTGACGAGAGATCGATGTTTTGAGAAGAACTAGTTTTGCTCCGAGTTGAAGGACAGATGTCCTTACAATCCTTGGAAGCTGTGTTTCCCTTGGCAAAGTTTTGAAGATCATGTTCCGCTTTGATAGACCCTCGAGTATCCACCAAGACATTCTCTATTTCTCCTGTTACTGCACTTTCACTTTCTTTAATTTTTTGCTTTCCTGTGGAAAAAAAAGTTTTATTATTCCAAAACATCACCACAACAAATTGTAAACTAGAACTGTAACAATAGACATATTATTGCACCCAGCTAGATCAGGAAATGTCTCAGCCAATCAGACTGAAGCTGTCATCTTGAAATCCTCAATTTGAAATTTATTGATCAAGTTCCAGTGGAGATGTCATTTAAAGGTTTTGCAGTTTCACCGGCATCACCATTTTTTACTGCCTTTAACAAATCTGATATCTGCTTTATGCCCAAACCGCCCTTTTTCCATTTATATTTCTTCGCAATACTTCCCACGGAGTGACAGACATTGCACCACGTGGTGGCCATGCATGCTCTCTGGTAAACACTGCATCAGACAGATGTTTAACAATGAAAACTGTCAGTGGTTTCATGAAATCGGTAACATTTTGGGAATATTAGACTTGATTTAGGAGAAGTAAAGGGTAAATTGCATTGGGAGTGGGGTTGATTACTGACCCCAATGATATAGGCAGGAGAAACACTGCCCTCCTCAGCCCCCTGGGGGGAATTAGCTACTTCTCGAGTCAAGATTCTGATCCCCCACCACAGGTTGATGATTACACCCATGTTTCATCAAAATCTGACGGATGGTTTCTCATGAGAAGTTGAAAATATGACTGCTTATGGACAAAATACGATTACCATGATGATTCAGGTGCCAATAAAGACAAACCTTTAGAATCAGTTCTGACACGTCGTGTTTTGCGATGTTTCCTTTCACCGTTATCACTTTCTGCTTGTTTGATGACAGTCCTCAGACATCGCTTGGCAACATTCATATCAAGCCTTGGCCGAGCTGTGTTCGGGATCGCAGAACAGTCAGATATCTGTATCAAGACAGCAATTATTAGTGTTTAAAATAATTTCAAATTAAATCAAAATTCTTAACCAATCAAATATGAGTCACTGTACAGAAAAACAAATTAGGTTTTACACAAAATTACAGTACCGTATATATCCTGCAATAAGCCCTGGGGCCCAATATATAATCTCTGACTGAAAGAAAGGGGGTGGGCTAATTACAGGACAACGAGAAAGCTATTGTTAACATTTATTCCCAACAATATATATTGGTGGTCTTATAACCAAGCATGGTCTTGTTGCTTGATGAATATGGTGATTATGTCTTACCTTGTGAACATCAGTGGGGGAAGAATGCTTCAGTTCAGAACAGGATTCTGTTGAATCAAGCATAACATATTTTATAAAGAGGTCTTCTACGATTTAAAAGTTACAAGATCAGCCTGATATCTGAATATATATACCCGTAATACATCATAATACATACTGATAAAATTTGGATCTATTTACAGTTCAACCACATCTACAATTTTAGATGATTATCTAGCACCATTTCTGACTTAATCAGATCCACAGAAATAATTAGACAGTCATCTGCAAATGGCTCCAAGACATATATTTTCCATACAGTACCTAATCTACTTGTTTTGAAAAATAAAAACAACCGTCGTACCCTTTGTGTCATCATCTGGTTTAATATTCCATACATGCTTCTGAGCAGCTGGTTTAGAGGCGTTCTCATTCAGGTTGACATTGAGAACTGTGGGCTGGTCCATTCCTGAAGGAGGGGGACCACCTCTATCCTGCAGACAGGACCTGCAGCTCTCTGTCCTCACAGCATCCTGTTTGTTCACTGATGCAGCAGGCAAATCGACAGTGAGCAAACTATCCTCTCCACAAGTGTGCTTGGCTAGCTTGTTTGAGTCTAGTACAGGCAGACACAGTGTGGGACTGGCTCGTTGTGCTTCTTCTGCAGCAGAAAAACATCCAATGAAGTAGCTTCAAAGGGCCAAAATTTACCCAGATTTTAACAAAGCACGCAATCTTCCCCACAACATTCTTTTTCCGACACACATCCACCTGTGAATTCCTTTTTTATTGAATATTTTGATAATTTTCAATTTTCAGGGGTTGACACTAACACTAGTCCGCTAGTCCTGGACTAGTAGACTTCAGCAAGAACTAGTGAATCCCCTAACCTAACTGGTCCTTTGGACTGGTGAAAAATATGATTATAAAATAAGAATATTCCTTTATGAAATTTAGATATAACTGCTTAAAATAAGATATATTGTATGATAAATGTCAAAATTTTCCTAAAACTTCACCATATTCTCATGGCAGTAGTTATTTTAAGTCCTCTAGAGTCAATTACTTAAGATGTTTTGTGCTGTAGAGCGCGATGTTTCCTTAAGAAAATCTTGGACTAGTTACATTGACGAAGGACTAGTAAATGTTCTATTCAACTAGTCCTGTGGACTACCGAGCAAATAAAATTAGTGTCTAACACAGATTTTTAATGATATCAGTTACCTTATAATTATATATCAACTAAAACATTCTTGAGTACCTTCAAAATGTGACATTAGGTCATATTTATTCTTCATAAATGTCTAAAATACTTAACATATTTATTGAAGTTTCTTTGGAATTCTTTGGAGTAATTGTAAACAGTCTAAAAATTATGATATAACAAAAGAACAGTTGTTGTGCTTTGTGAAAAATGGACTCAACAAAAAACTATCATGGAATTTATTAATCTTGGTTTTTATTCCCCATCTTCCTACTCTTTAACTTTTTTTCAGAATAAAAGCCAAAAAAGATATTTGCCAGACACGAATTCCACAAACTGACAGGTACATAAACATTAAATGTATATCGGTATGAAAGCTGCTGACTATCAAAATGTACACAGTAGGTGAAGTGAATGTTGGGGAGAGTTATATCTCCCTTAGACTGTAACAGCTAGTGCCGACAACATTGATGTGACATCTTGGAGCGGTCTCTTTACATCCTAACTTCGAACTGAATACATGTGAGGGATTTTCCTCCAAATTCTAACAGATTTTGGGACCTGAGAGCAGTTCCCTACTACATGAAGAGACAGTGTGTAACTTAACACCCACCAAATTTACTACATAGGCATAATTAATTTTCCCAAATAATATAAACAGATCATGGTTGAAATTAATATGTAATTGGAGTTTAATTAATATGTAATTAAGAGATTAATGAATATTTAAACTGAAATGTCTCTATATTATTTTGAATACTTTGGATTCAACTGACAGTCTATCATGTACATCACAGATACACATGAAAACCTCAACATCTGTCTGCATCATGCAGGCAAAAAGAATGAATGTAACAGTCCTTTACAAGTTTGTATTTAAATTAAATAATCACAATCTGATTGTAACCAAAACTAAATATCTGCTATGAGAGGAAGATTGTCTGTAGTGGAAATTGAAATATTTTTATCCGCTTTTTAATAAACAGTACAATGTTCGAGTTGTATACTTGATTAATTCATATCGCTTTTACAAATCCATAAACTTTTTCCCCCTTATATTCAATGAAAGCTTTTAAAATTAAATCTCAAGCTGTTACAGTAATCAGCTATATATCCCCCCCCCCCCTGATTTCGTGTACACTAATATTTTGTCCATTTTTAAATTGTTTTGTGTATTTACACATGTGTAAATATCATAGATCATATCATTCATCATAGATCTGTGATTATTATCAAATATAATTACCAATAAGATTTTCAGCCTCTGTGGTAAGAAGGAAACAGGTGTTGTAACACCTGTCCAAGTTCTGCATGACATCCACAAAACTCTGCATAAACATGCCTTTGTCTGTGATAGCAAGTAGACTTTCAGCATCTCTCTCACTCTACAAAAAATATCAAAGTACTTAAAGACCCAATGATTCATAAAACCTGTTAACAATTAATTTTCCTGTCTATATATTATTTGGGACCAACTTCAGACATTTATCTCCAAACAAGCTGGAAAATGAAGAAATGAAATATGTTCTGCCAAAAATCTTATCTGGTTCCAATACTAGGGCAATTAATATAATATACCACTGAACAATGTCTTAAGGGTTCTGTTCTGTTGTTTGTTACAGGCTAATTCCCCGACAAGCACAAATCTACGAATAACAATTACAGACCATAAATACACATTTGCACGTACATGCACAAACAAATATAACATTCCTCCAGCTTAACATCCACTCAATTTAATAATAGTATTAAATTGCTTTAAGAGATAATAAGAAATGAAATCGCTGCTAATTATTTACCAATTACTTAGATATATTTGATTTCTGGACATGGTAAAAACATTTTCTCTATACTCACATCTGCTATATACTCATCAAGAATGGCAGACAACAGGTGACGTTGATCCCGGATATTTTCCACTTTCTCCGTCACTTTCTTGCCCAGACTCACAAGACTACGCTGGGAGGCAGACATGATGTTCGAGTATCTGGTAATAGAATGTAGATATTTAGGAAGATATATAGTCAGTATATAAATATACAGGATCAATCTTACTCTCTGAATTCAACTCCTTTTTTCTCAAAAATAATGGTAGGAGAAAGGGTATTTCAAAACACAGGTAATCTGGTGGTGAACTTGCATTTTTCTACCTTTTCCTCATATAAATACCAACACTAGGATCTGTCACAATACTTAAATGTACAGACTACAGACTACACATTTTTTATGTTGTTTTAATACTTTACCTTTTAAAGAGATTTGATGAGTTTCAAAAATTTGTTTAAAAAGTTCATAAATCTAGAAGGAATCCTAGAGAAATTAACCTACTTGTAAATAGTATCAGTCTTAAAATCAGCAAGTACAATGGGCCCTGGTCATGGATACATCTGCTTTTCTGACAATACTACAAGATCTTAAATTCATTGCCCTTTTTGAGAAAGTGTTAAATATTTTTCTTTATTTGGATTTGTACAGATTTAGATAGGCAATTAAAGCAATTCATAATCATACATGTCATTGTCCATCCATAATATGAATATTATCATCTGATCATAGGATTATTTCTTGTTAACAGAGCTTCCAACACCCCCTTCTTCAACCTCAACCGAGTTCCCCTCTATTTCTTGTAGATTATATAAAATATTTGTAGATCAACGGACTGTCTCAGTTTTCACAGCATTTATTTTTTTGTGTGTGCCTATATTTAGTTTTCATTGCAACATACACAGCAGTTCATTGCGTTTTCAAATTGAAGTGTCATATTCGATAAAACCGAACAATTTACTGACTATAACACCATATTGGATGTTGCAAAATCTTTGCAGACGACTGTTTCGTTTCCAAGAAACAGGTGCACGGTTTACAGACGTTCGATCTTTACGTTTCATAAACACGTTTCACACCATGTCCGAACGATTGAAACGTTTTCGGTCTTAGAGATCAGACAATAACACTTACATTTGACAATTGAAACTCAAATAAGCACGTTTGTTTTCATGTTTGACAGATTGACATATTCCCCGCAATCCCGCAAGTCACACGTGAGTCGCAATTTGATCTAGGTCAATTGAGAGCTTCGAAAACATACCCTCACAATTTGTCCATTCTGCGGTAGCGACATACAACAGTGTAATGTTTTGGTCTTTTTTAAATTTCGGTACAGTGTAAAATACGGATACACTTACCAGAACAAGGACGGATGTTTACACACTTTGCTTGATCCGTCCGATTAGCTTCCGACATCAAATTTATAATAATGCAGGAACTATTCTTCTTCTTCTTCTTCTTCCTCTTCTTCTTCTTCTTCCTCTTCTTCTTCTTCTTCTTTCTTCTTCTTCTTCTTCTTCTTCTTCTTCTTCTTCTTCTTCTTCTTCTTCTTCTTCTTCTTCTTCTTCTTCACGTGCATCATTCATAAGAATATTGTCGCACAATTTGCGCATAGCGGGAGGTAAAAACTATCCACGATAGCCGATGTACAATTAAAATAATGAATGTGTTTATAGTCCAACTGGTCAAGATTGTTATAAGTTTGATAAGTTTGTTATATAACATTGTTATAAGTTTGTTATCTTAATCTATAGTTTTAATCATGAAATAACTCTCTCTCTCTCTCTCTCTCTCTCTGTTGGTAGTCTGTGTTTTTGATGTAGGTTGGACCTAACGGTTGTCGTGTCCTCTGGTCCTTGCTGTTGTTGATGCAGGCAGAAGGTAGGTATGGTTGTGGGCGGATGCCGATAAGGCCGTGGACGATTTTATACATCATCACCTGCTGGGCCTGAATTTTCCGCTCCTGCAGGGTGTGCAAGCCGAGTGTCTGCAGCATTGTTGTGACACTGCTGTATTTGCTGAAATCGCCTATAACAAACATGGCTGCTTTCCGCTGGACCTAGCTATTCTAGCTTGCTGATGTATGTGGACACCAGATGACAGATCCATACTCGATGATGGGGCGTACCAAGGTGGTGTAGCAGGCCGCCTTCACATCAGCTGGGCATTTCGTCAGTGTCTTCTGCACGAAAGCGTTGGTGGAAGTAGCTTTCTTGCTGGCAGCTTCGATGTGTTTGTTCCAAGAGAGGTTATTTTGGAGGTGGATTCCTAAATACTTGGCCGACGGGACTGTCTCTAAATCTTGACCGTGGTTGGAGTAGGTCGTGACCAAGGGATTCCTTATCCTGGTTATCCGGATGACTTCACATTTCTCTGGGTTGAAGCTCATCTGCCATCTATCCTCCCATTCCTGTAGTCTGTCCAGGTCTTCTTGTTGTTGTGCAGAGCCGTCATAAGTGGAAATAACTCTGTACAACAAGCAGTCATCAGCGAACAAGCGAGGAGTGGATGTTACACACAAGAGGAGATCATTGATGAAGACCAGGAATAGTAGAGGTCCGAGGACAGTTTCTTGAGGGACCCCTGATGTTACGGGATATGTTGATTACTGTTGGCTCTCAAGTATAACTTTCTGCGTAAGGTTGGATAGGAAGCTTTCAATCCACTTGAGCGTGTTCCCTCGGATACCATAGTAGTGGAGCTTGCGCAGAAGTCTTTGGTGCGGGACCTTGTCGAACGCCTTCGAGAAGTCGAGGAGGACTGCATCGACTTGATCACCTTTGTCGAGGCTCCTGGCAATGCCGTCTATGGTCAGGATCAGCTGGCTCTCGCAGGATCTCTTCTTCCTGAATCCGTGTTGGTAATCAGATAGGATGTCGTGTTGTTCTAGGTGATCCATTAGACTGCTGTGGATTATGTGCTCCACCAGCTGACTGCATATTGAAGTCAGTGACACCGGTCGATAGTTGCCTGCCTTTGCCTTGTCTCCCTTCATGAAGATGGGGGTTATATGAGCTTTCTTCCAGTCGTCAGGGACAGTTCCAGCATCTATGGAAGACTGAAACACTCTGGTGAGCACGGGAGGAGAGATGGAATGGGCACACATCCTGAGTAGCCTTGCTGGGACTTCATCTGGACCTGTTGCTTTGCTCCCTATGACATTAAGAAGAAGCTTTGTCACTCCCGTCTGACTGATGGTGATAGTTGAGGCATCCCTGATGTTGCTGGGGCCGAGTTCCGGAACAGTTGATAGGTCTTCACTGGTGTATGCAGAACAAAACTGCTGGTTGAGTATCTCAGCTTTCGCTCTGGGCTCACTCACAAGAAGTCCGTCCTTCCTCAGTGAGGACACTCCAGAGGAGTCTGTTCGCTGACTCTTCGCGTACGTCAACAGCTTTTTGTTCCTACCTGTATCGCTGTGAGCAGCTCTGCACTCCTTTTGGGCTGCGGACTTTGTTGAATGCGCGATGTTTGTGACGTGATACTTTCTTAACACTGCGCGTAATCTATGGTTGATTGAATCTCCCTGAATAGAAGTCATCTTAGATGGCACAAGCTCCATTGTATGGTTGTCGAAAGCTTAACGTTAAATTAAGGTTTTTCTCACCAAACCACGGACTTAAGCTTAGATTAAACTTTTTTTTTTCAGTTCAAGTTGTAGTAGGAAAGTTCCGCTTTTGGCACAGGGTCATCCGGTGCACTCCCCTATATAATCCTTACCACCTCCCTGGCACCCCCCTAGTGGCACCCCCTTCGGTAGGGGGGTACCGATCGATGACGTCACAGGGGGGTTCTCATGTATTTGGGTTTTTCCTGATTGCATCTATTTATAGCAACAACCTATATACGAGGGGGGGGGGGGTAACGCTCGATAATGTCATAGGGGATTTTCATGTATTTGGGGTTTTCCTGCCTGCATCTATTCAGCAGCAGCAGCAGCGACCACCGCCGCCGCCACCGCCGTCGCCGCCTCCGCCGCCGCCGCCGCCGGGGCTTCATCCATTAACCGCCGCCGCCGACGGATGAAGCTCCGGCGGCGACGGTGGTTGTTGTTGGTTGTTGCGGCGGAAGCTGTTGTTGTTGCTGCTGCTGTTGCTGCTTCGTGACTCCATCTCCTCCTCCTGTTCTCTATAAGGGACGAGACATATGTGAAATAACCGAGCTACTCGGTAGTGAAGCGGACGTAAAACCTATCAATCAATCAATCNAAATAGATGCAGTCAGGCAAAAAACCCAAATACATGAGAACCCCCCTGTGACGTCATCGATCGGTACCCCCCTACCGAAGGGGGGTGCCACTAGGGGGGTGCCAGGGAGGTGGTAAGGATTATATAGGGGAGTGCACCGGATGACCCTGTGCCAAAAGCGGAACTTTACTACTACTTCAAGCATCTTATTACAATGAACAGAGAAGACAAAGGGAAATAGGAACAAGTGTCAAAGACACTTATGTAAACCTATCACCAAGTATACTAAACAGCAACTAATATATTCAGTACGTGATAACACCAGTCATACACACAACACACGCATATATATATATACCAATAATTAATGGAAATAACAATAGTTTAAACTTCCTTAAAGTAAGGTGGTTGGGGTAAGATATATATTGTACAAGTTTACATGTCATATTATTCAGTTATAGAAAAGCTGCCAGTTTTAAGTATATAATTCTGTACAGCTAGAAATATTAACTTATTTTCAGCCAATGAAAACGAATCATCTCCAAATAATAATAACTCCAAAGTAATATTATGGGGCAAACATTGTAGGTAGCGTCTTCTTATTTGATCGTACCTGTTACATTCCAATAAAAAATGTTTATTGTCTTCGACTTCACCACACATGCATAATGGAGATGGAGCAATATTTTTAGCAAGTAAATGACCATTTAAGGAGTTACACTCCATTCGTAGTCGTGCGTGATATATTTGACCCTTGCGGGTACCAACGTTGTAATAGATAGGCGTTGTCTTAGTATGTTGCTTGTCAAGATAAGATTTTTAAGCGGAAGTAGACGGATTTGATCGTACATTTTGTGGAAGACTATTCCATTGGTCTATATAACAGAAGGTAGAAAAGACTGCTTATAAAAGGAAGTTTTACTCAATATTGGAGTAATAAAGGTATGGTTGGAGTTTCTGGTATCATATCGATGCCCTTCCGATACAGTACTTGGGATAAGGCTATATAAATATTCAGGTGTATATTGATAGAACATTTTATGGAACTGGATAATTTTATGATTTTGCCTCCGATTGAATAAACTGACCTAAGCTTATTCATTGAAAAGTTTNAGGTGACGTTTTAGAGATGATGTAATTGACATGATCTGACCAACTACCGTTTGAGGAGAAAAAGACTGATGCTGATGGAAAGATACGTTATTTATAGGAACTTGGTTCATAATCATGTAAGTGAGGGTGATTGGGAGGGTTTCTTTTCCTACTTATGAGGATAGTTTCAGATTTATTTGGGTTAAAGCTACAAGCCACTGGCGTGACCATGCATTTATTTTTTCCAAGTCCGATTCCAGAATTTCATGTGTCGTAACTGGATTGTCTACTACCATAAACAGTGACGTATCGTCGGCAAACAGTTTTATCATGGAGTTAATATTATACACAATATCATTAATGTACATCAAGAAGAGCAGAGGTCCAAGGAAAGAGCGTTGGGGTACTCCGGCATTAATAGATGCCCAATTAGAACTGCAATTATTTAAATTAACTCTTTGTTTTCTGTCGAGAAGATAATCTTCAAACCTGGTTAATAACTTTCCACATATGCCAAGTTTTTTAAGTTTGAAAAGAAGGCCTCAATGCCAGACACGGTCGAAAGCCTTGCTGATATCACAGAATACTGCTCGAATTTCTTTGCCTGAGTCTAGAGCTTTACCAAAGTCGTTAGATATACTAAGTAATTGGTTTATAGTAGAGTCGCCGGGTGTGAAGCCTGATTGACAGCTAGTAATAAGGCTATTTTGAAGAAGAAAATTGCACAAATATTTAAATATGCAGCGTTCAAATACTTTTCCTAAGACACTTATTAGATATATGGGACGATGATTCTTGACGTCATCTCGTTTTCCTTTTTTATGAACAGGTATGACGTTCGCTCTTTTCCATGACGACGGAAATTTAGACATGGCAAGACATTTATTAAAAAAGAAGGCAAGAGGATTACAAAGAACATTGGCTGTCTCTTTTAGGACTTTGGGCTGACTCGGTCGGGTCCAACTGCTTTGNTAATAAGGCTATTTTGAAGAAGAAAATTGCACAAATATTTAAATATCCAGCGTTCAAATACTTTTCCTGCGACACTTATTAGAGATATGGGACGATGATTCTTGACGTCATCTCGTTTTCCTTTTTTTTATGAACAGGTATGACGTTCGCTCTTTTCCATGACGACGGAAATTTAGACATGACATGACATTTATTAAAAAAGAAGGCAAGAGGATTACAAAGAACATTGGCTGTCTCTTTTAGGACTTTGGGCTGACTAGGTCGGGTCAAACTGCTTTGGACGGATCCAGATTAACCAGTATATCTGTGACGTCATCGCTTGTTATTATAATTTGACCAAGTTTTTTTGGGATAGATACACGAGTAATAAGAATTGAAAATATTAGCCTTGTCAGCATCGTCATCGTAATAATTTCCATCACTAATAATGACAGGGATGTGGGATTTATTTGTGTATGTTTTCATGAATTTGTTAAGAACTTTCTACCATGACCTGGAACGATTTGGGACAGATAGTTCTAACGACAGTTTGTTGAAATACTTGTTTTTGGACTGCCTAGTTAGGTTGAAACACTTATTGCGAATATGTCTAAACTTTAACCTGTCACAATCTCTAGTCGTCTGTTTTGCCCTTTTATGTATTTTTTTACGTTTTGAAATCAACTTTTTAATGTCGAGATACATCCAAGGTAGATCTCTACTTTTAACCACAATAGTTTTATTTGGAATACAGACATAGGAAATTCTCTCTAATGTGTCTGTCAGATTTTTACATGATTCATCTATGACATTTGAGTCAAGAAGTGACCATTCCGTATTCATTACCATCGTTTTATACTTTTCAAAATCAGCGTGCTTGTAAAGCTATACCTTACGATTAAAGGATTTAGCTGTAGTTTTGGTAAAATTCCAAATTCCGAATACAGGACAGTGATATCGTAATGGTTTGTCTTGGAACGATTCACCAACAAATGTTTGATTTAATATTGAAGGGTTGCTGACAAGAATGAGATCTAGCAGAGAGGAAGTATTTTCAGTAAAATGGGTACATTCGTTTAAAAGATATTTTAACGTTACGATAATTTTGGATCACTAATAATAATAAAAAAAAATGGTAAACGGAAATCGTTAGCAATATAAACTTATAACAGTTAGGTAGTTTTATATTTTCCTTGTGTTTTCTAATCAGTTAACTGTTCAGTTTAAAATTCAACAAGAAATACAAACAGCATATTTCAATTTCAAGCAGTAGATAATATTATAAATTTCTGTCATAAGACCTCTAAATTTTCCAGCATTTTTCCAAACTTATCATTTATTTCACTATCCGTTTTTTACCGTAATTCGAAACCCGTTCTCCGTTTCAGTATTTATAGAGTTCCCTGACGCTAAAATAGTACTTACCTCCCTTTGGTAAACAGCCCGCCATCTTCGAAAATCTGATACATGATTAGACAGGTTCAGGTTAATCGTGCTGTCTGGAAGGAAAAAAGATGACGAATGTTTTGGTTTGTAAAACGAACATAAAATGTTATTGCATATGATGATTTTTTTTAGAGTTAAAACATCTACATAGCTGTGAACCCAAAAAATCTTCTAATGTCGTTGTTTAATTCCAAGTAACGTTATAAAAATAATTCTGAAATTGTAATCAACTGTCCATGTTCATAACATTTAGTTTAATGCATCATAGTTAGCACTTTGACAATTGAAAACATACTTAATAGAAAACAAATGAATGAGGTCAGATAATACTTACGATATTTTACTTGATCACGGTTTATCTACACGTTTTTACTGCATTTAATTTATAATTAATTTTGGCAAATTTTTGACTTCTGAAATCATGATCTTGTCATGGGAACTTTACTTTATTATAGTAAAATCTTCTAATGTTAATATAATGGTACTTTGGTGATCCGGACCCTGGTTTAATTTCGAATTTTCTAATAAAAACTATGTGTAGTTTAAATTAACAAAATATGAAACCGATAAAAACATATGCATAGTTTGTTTGACTTGTTCTTGGCTCTCTGCAATGCTTTATTGTCATTGATATTGATACATGACTGATGTTTTTCATTACAGGAGGATCCGTCCCTGGAGCGCCATTTTAAGGGCCACAGGGACACCATCACCAGTGTTGACTTCAATCCAAACATGAAGCAGCTAGGTCAGTAGTCAGTTGGCTATTTATAATAACAATAAAAGCTAACTTCTAATTTTTAATTGACTCCTACCCAAACAAACTTGTACCCATTAGCAGACTAAAGAGACTATTTAAAAAAATAGTACACCAACTCGTAGCGATAAACCCAACATAAATACTCACACCCATATACCCTCGAACCAGACATATCTCATGCACACCCTTACGCATACAAACACACATCTGCTACAAAGGACAACTATAAATATTCATTCTTTCCACACACAATAACAATGAAATTTCCTTCCGATAGTAGCAGTACAATCCACAAAACTCGAGGACTTCAAGGCACACATATCATATGCAGCCCTTGAAGCCCTCATTACACGCTAATACATACACCAGCTTGTACCTTTTTATCTTATACCCTGCACAAAAAAACTTATCTAATCACTGAAAATTATTCCTTTTTTCACGCCTTTGTGCACAGGTTCCTGAAGGCACAATCATCAGTATTGATGGACCCTTTGTATACTAAAGAAAAAAAATGCAATTTCGGTAGCTGTTAACCTGAAGCACACAATATATATTACTGTGTGAAATTAAGTGTGAGCTTTAGACCACTAATCTAAGGCAAAAGTTTGATCCCAAAGGTGACGGGAAATGGAGTGATGTCAGATATTGGATAAATAGAATTTAGGTGTTATCCCTTTGATCGCATGTTGGTTTTCTGCAGTATTTTCCTCCAAATGTTTACTGGAATTTTACATTCCCACATCTCCCATACCACATTAATGACTCAATAATCCAAACCACAGCATACATATCATGTAACGTGCATATCTAAAATCTTATATATTGTATGACGCCCCCTTTCATCACCCACCCTAGTACTTATATTAATACCCGGCCTCCTCTGCCCCGACCGGGTATTAAATCGATCCCATGCCTTATAATGGAGCAAGCCCAATGTGAATCACACTGGGGTGATTTTAGAATTAATTGACAGCACATTGGTCCACATCCATAAATAAGGTTGTAGTATGAACTATTTCTGTTAAATCCTGCACAACTTAAAGTTAAACTCTGCCTAAAATGTCGTTAAATTATCAAGTAAACGTAGCAAGCGTAATCGAAATCTGAATTGACCGCCATGTTGGAAAGTTCGTCTCTCTTCCGATATAGGTCAGACGTCCAAATATGGGTGTCATGACCCAATATGGAAATTGTAGTTAACATGGCAGCATCAGTAGTAATACTATATTCGGCCATGCTATCTATCTATCTATATATTCTGCATCACCCTCTTTCGAGTATTATGTCCAGCGTGCGCGTCTGTGCATGTTGAAAGGTATTGTGTGGTGACAGAGATAGAAATGATAAATTGCGGACTGGTGCATGCATAAGGCAGAGGGAGAGGAAAGAAAGAAAAATGTGATGAGAGAGTATTTGGTGCTAAGAAATGTCTATAAGTTTAGACCTGCTATAGCTACTGCCCATACAAGGGAATATTTTATGGAACCTCTACGGATGTTGATAGCTCCTGTTGTACAAAATAGCGGATCTATTATGGACTTTGAGTCAGGGTGTGAGGGAGGGGGGGGTGATAATAATAGTTTGAAGATTGTTTACCTAATATACAGTAACATACACTCCAACTGAGCTGTATTTGGAAAGAGTTCTGATTCGGTGTTGGTCATATCAACTCTGGCCACCTTTAGGAACTCTTTCCCATGCAGAGCCAGAATTAGTGTATTCGGGTAGGTGAACTATGATGACAGGGGGACGGGGGTGAGGGGGACGGGGGAAGTTAAAAATATGCTGACATAGTCTATGGCCTAACAAAGGGAGGATCACTGATTGCCTTCTTGAAGGTGTCAAGTGATGGACTGCTGCAAGCTCCTAACGGGAGGGCGTTCCATTGGACTATGGTTAGGGGGAAGAAAGAGTATTTGTAAAAGTCCTTATTGGTAGGGATTTGCCGAAAAGGCCATATATAGAAAGGATAATTGAGATAACATCCCGCGTGATCTGTCATGGCTGTCGTTTCTATTTTTTTTCCCAATACATAATTTGTTAATTTCGTAAAAGAGTTTTTGCATTGGTAAGGATTCGTTTTTTCAACGATTATGCAATATTTTGATAACATTATACTCATATGAGGTGTGATTATATGCAATCTTACAGATTAACACTTTTGATTTTGCTCCATTAGTTGGCATAGGACTAATTCGTAGCTCTGACGACGTAATATATAAAAAAAATCTCTCGTCGTCAGAAAGCTACGTTTTCGCAGCTACACCCACCCCTAAATCACAGTATTATGTGTCATGTGTATCTGAAATTAAATTGAATCTGAAGAGCGAAAAAAATACCAGAAACAGCATATTCTCAACATTATATACATGTAGATATAATCATGCATCTTTTCTGTTATAGCCTCTGGATCAATGGATTCCTGTCTGATGGTTTGGAACTTCAAGCCCCAAATGAGGGCTTACAGATTTGTTGGACACAAGGTAACTGATGCTTAACAAATAAGACTTTCATTGCCCTGTATAAGTTTGTTTTATACATGATGTAATGCATGGTACAGAAGTGTTGACTGAAATGTACTGACCCAAACTGTATCCATGTACTTAGTTAACTGTGTCAGCCCTAAGCAATATGTAGAACTCACATCTACACATTCTGAATTTGATCACCAGTAAAGTACTATAAACTTGTAATGACTCATGTTCCATGTTTTTTCATGTTCCATTTCCTATATATATTGTTACATAAACATGGCCTACGAGTTAATTTTCATTTTTTTTTCATCATATCCATATGGGGCAAGAATAGGAACTTCTATCTTGGGGTCAATTTCATTGAATGAAGCCCCTGTAGGTTGATAACAAGATCTTTAGATAATGACATGTTTCAGGAAATAGGGGATAAATGGTTACAATGTGTTCACTTTTCAGAAAACATTTTGAGAAATATTTATTTTTCACACTTTCTGCTTCATTTGGCTTAAGTCACATTGAAGTCACTGATCCACTCACTGATGTGCCGAAAACGATATAACCATAACAATGTGGTACGTCATTTCTTGATAGTGTCTAATTTTCCGTGTTGTCTTGTTCTTCCCTGTAGGACGCAGTGATGGATGTCAAGTTTTCTCCGTCAGGCCACCTTGTGGCCTCTGGGTCCAGAGACAAGACAGTGCGACTATGGATCCCCAGCGTGTCAGTATTTAATGGTTTTGCTTCGTAAAACAAGTTTTGAATTAAATTGTTTTGTCATGATCAAGGCACTTTCTAAATATCAGTTTTAAGATTTCAAACATAGAAATATCTAGATTTGTTAAAAATTTCAAAGTGACTATTCAATGTAAACACAGTGTGAACGATACAGGTTACTTCCCTTGATTTCTTTGTCATTCATACCCTCAGACAAGGGACAGCTATTAATAATGCTGTATACAATTTTACTCCACTGTCAAGGACTCAAGATAGCAAGACAAAGTTATGTTTTATTTTTGATACATAACTCTGTTATTGTCTGTTACAGAAAAGGAGAGTCAACAGTATTCAAGGCTCACACAGCCACTGTGAGGAGCGTAGATTTCTCTAGCGACGGACAGTACCTGCTCACAGCCTCGGACGACAAAACTGTCAAGGTACATTCTAGTCTCACATTTTTCCTGAGGCATTGTGTGTTTAAACAGAGGCTGTAAGACAGTCATTGTTTTCACCTAATAGATTTGTAGAATATTACAAATTTAAGATAGTGAACAGTTTTCATCATCATCCGTAAAACAAACTAATATATTAATTTTATAATGATTAATGCAAAATATAGCAAAGAAGCCAAGATGTTTTTGCATGTTTTGTACAAAGTCTTGCATAGACTCAAATAGCATCTGCCAAATGAGTGAATGAGCATTTGTTTTTCTGCTAAAGTTCTAGGTACTGTATAAGTGATTATTTTGTTTTATTGTCAAGATTTTTGTGGTAAATGTTACCATCAATTCAATACTTATGGTAAAAATTCTATGTATTGATATACAATGTATTCCGTCTTTTCATATTGCAGAGTTATCTTCCCTTGTGAGCAGGTATTGATTGTTACGTCATTGGTTTTTGAGAGTAACTTAACAGCATCAATTTTTGAAAAAGCGACTTATTTTTTTCACACAAACCAATGACGAAACAATCAAAACTTGCTCACAAGAGAAGATAACTCTGCAATATGCAAAGTCGGAATATCATACTGGCTTGTTTTAATGCTGTTAAATAAAATGTATTAATTACATTTTCAACTCCAGGCTAATATGAACTTTTTGTTATGTAACTGTAAGACCTCATTTTATCACAATCCGTTAAACCGCCACCCTTGTCTACTCCCAACCTAGGGTGGGGAACATTTTCCTCCCTCTTAAATGCCCTTTTATCTGCCAAACTCACCTACTGCCATGTACCATACCATGTAAAAACAAATTTGATATACGTATCTAGTTATATTTATAAAGTGTATAAAATATCTTGTGTATTATGAGTGTTAGTAATATATACACTCTCCTGGTTGTAATAAAATGGAGGGCATTGGAAGTGTGATATAGGCAGAATATAGAAATTTATGGGGGATGTACACAATCCCCCCTCCCCTCTTCTGGAGAAAACACTGTATATGTGGAGTGTGGTAGCAGGGAGACAATTCTTTCTTCTTGCAAAATATTTTCTACTGTCCTCACCACATATTCTAACAATGATTTAATAATAATAATAATAATAATAATAATATCTTTTATTTATCCAGGGTTACATATTTAGACAATGTCTAGTTTACAAGACCCAACTCACATGTTATTGATACCAGCTTGACATGGTCCCACCCTGTAATAGGCTGTATACTCATAAATGGAATAACCCTTACATGTTTATTGCTAAATGTAGGTCAGATTTGGACACGACGCTATAGCAAAAGACTGTATACTTGTGCATTTTTTTTATTCCTTCAAATTATTGTTTTTCCCGTTTTTCAAACACTTTTAAAGTGATAATGAGTTTGTGGTATGTTATCTCCACTAGGTATGGACAGTACACAGACAGAAGTTTATGTTCTCCTTAAATCAACACATGAACTGGGTTCGATGTGCCAGGTAAGCAAACATGAGATTTTACATAAAAAATATTATTTGATATGTCCTTGATGGCTCGACAGCCCCAGCTTATTTGGCTAGTACCTACTGGATAATCAGTCTTAAAAGGCATCTTGTTTTCTGTGGCTGTTGTATGGCAATATAATTTTCTTTAAATTTATAGATTAGAAGTTTTGTTTATTGAAACTTTCCTGATTTGCTGTTGAATTCTAATTGGAAGGTTCCATTTAATTTGTTACTTTTGATACATATCTATATTTGCCAGGTTTTCCCCAGATGGCAGACTTGTTGTATCAGGAAGTGATGATAAAACAGTGAAACTGTGGGACAAAAATAGTAAAGAGTGTGTACACACCTTCTTTGAACATGGAGGGTAAGTTCAAACATATTTATTTAAGTCAATGAAGACCAATTTCCCCATCATTGATAATGTGATATTTTATTGAGGCTCGGTCATAGATACACAATACAATACATATAGGGAGATATTAGCCAGGTGCCATAGGACTAGTACCGGGTAGTTAGGGCCTGATAAGGCAGCTCCTGCGAATTCCTCAAAATTGTATTGATTAATGTATATGCTAATTGTATTAATTGTATATCTATGTACTGTAAAGCGCTTTAGAGTGGCTTATGTTAGCTAGATAGGGCGCTATATCAAATGTTGTATATTATTATTATTATATAGATGCAAGTTGAAATGACAATTTTTATTTTTATAGATTTATGCTGCATTGTCATATTACACAAGTAATGATCGGGCAGATTCAATCATCAGCCATTTACCATAGCCGGACTCTTTAATACATTAAATACACTTACACATATTGGTTAACAACAACCAATCACTGCCTTGTTTTCAAATAATCACACATGGTCAGATGACCACTATAGTTGCTCTGGTTTGACCGAAGGAAATTGGTAGGTTGTACCATAGTGGACCAGGTATGTGCACCGCAGCTTCCCGTTTCTTCACACATGTGCAATACACATTACATGTAATAAAGTGAGTTCAACGTATTCTTGTCAGACCCTAGTCACTATAGTTGATGATCAAACTCGCCCATCATAATTCTGCATGTCACAAATAAAACTTCTCGCCTTATTGTGAGGTTTGTTTTGTACAGGTTTGTGAACTACGTAGAATTCCACCCCAGCGGTACGTGTATAGCATCAGCCGGTACTGACAGTACAGTTAAAGTATGGGACATCAGGATGAACAAGTTACTACAGCATTACACAGGTAAACACATATACTGTGAAACCTGTTATCTCAAACTGGTTGCGTGCAGCAATAAGTTATCTGGAGTTTTCATTTTTTTTTTATGAAAAAACATCAGATTTGTGTGTGAAGACCAATTGATCTGTGATGATAGGGGTATACAACCTCTTGGATTGAAAGTTGACTTGGTTCCATTGTATCAGAAGTCAGTGACATTTCCTGTTCAGATTGAACTACAGTATGATTTCTCACTCACTGTACTGTATAAAATAGTCTGACTTTTTTGTCTGTTGCAACATGTCATAATTTAAAAACATTTTCTGCATTTATTCTTGTTTAATATAAGAGAAGACAATTATATCAATGTTACAAATATATTCATTGTTTTTGTAAGTAAACTATTTAACACAATATATTTCATAATTAAAACAAATATTTTGTCAATGACCACATGCTTCCTTCGTTTGTTTGGTTGTATAATACTTGCAAATGTTTTTACTGGATTTAATCTGTTTCCAGCTCATTCCTCATCTGTAAACAGTTTGTCATTCCACTCAAGCGGAAACTACCTGATATCAGGCTCGGACGATTCAACCCTCAAGATTTTTGACCTGCTGGAGGGCCGTCTTTTCTACACACTTCATGGACACCAGGTAGCTATAGACAGACATAAAAGTCATGTGACTAAGGGAACATCCATAAGTCATGTGACCCTAATGGCAGGTGTACGAGTCACATGATTTATTACCTGTTCACAAGTCATATGACCCCAATGGCAAGTCCACAAGTCACATGACTGACTACTGGTCCATAAGTCATGTGACCTATGGAAGACTAAATGTCACATGACCAGTTGCAGGTCAACATGTCATGGGGTGATTGGCAGTGTTATGTGACTGCTTACATGTTCACGACTCATGTTACTGATGACAGGTTTATAAGTGGTGTGACCAGTGGCGCATCCGTATTAAAGTCATGTGATTGGAAAAGGTTAACATGTCATTTGATAGATGGCAGGCCCATCACTGTAATATTTGTGCTAATGGTGAAATGCCTTGACTAGGCTCTGACACAGTTACCAGGTAAACTTAAACTCTGTTTGGATCGCTGTCCTTAAGAATGTCTACTATCTCTGACAGTACACCATATATATATAAGAATAGTATGACCAAATGTCATCTTTCTCTGCATTCTACAAAAATGGAGAAACAGATTCTGTAAAACAATTCTGTACTTGTGTAAACATAGAATTTTCAGAAGATGACATAAACCATTATCCCAGGCAGGAATGTATTTACAGTTTGTCAATGTTGTGTTACAGGGTCCGTCTACGGCTGTGGCTTTCTCAAAGTCTGGAGAATATTTCGCCTCGGGTGGATCAGATGAGCAGGTAGGTAACTCGTGTTGTAGAAGACAGCCTTGTGTTTGTGACATCAGAGAAATAGGGTTGTGTTTCAGTATTAAAGGAAAACTGTTCAGAAAGTTCCAGAAAGTTCATATTTCATAATACTGTTAAAAATGCAGATTTTGTTTTATGCTCACTTTTCACTTTTCGATCTGTATTTGTCCAGTATTCGACTTGTCGTCAGTGACAGAATTATGCATGGTTAGTTGATAGTTAATTGCCATTAGGATGAATTCATCATCAGTTTTGAGGGTAAAATTGTAAACAGTTAAATGACACACTTTCTATTATGCATTATTTTATCTCCGTTGCTGCAAAAGTTGAAATCCTTTTGTAAAAAAATATGATGAGTAATCTTGTGATAGATTGGCTTCTACAGTCGAACCTATTTTTCTACTTCTAAGGGAGTTAACTCTGTGTGCTAATGTGTCCAGTGTATTTTGTTGGGGACAGGTACTGGTATGGAAAACCAACTTTGATCAACTAGACTTCAATGAAGTTCTGCAGTCACACAAACAGCGTGAGAAAACCTCGGCTCCCCCAACTGTAGGTGATATACCACCTAGAGTACAGAAACCCCAACGACCTCAAACATCAACTCGGGTAAGTATCATGTAGAACCGAGGGGATTCATCCATTTATCAATCTTCGTTATTATAGATATAACTTCAAGGACACATAAAGATATAATTTTCAGCGGTATTTCATTATTTAACTAATCCACTATTAAAAAAAGTTCTAAACTTGCTATTTATTTCATTAATCAAATCAGATTCAATTGGAAAAACAAATTTGCTCTTAAATAGAATGAGCTTGTTATAAAACTTGTATTTAAGTTAAAAATTGTTCATCTGCTGTCAATGTAACTCATTAAACAATACTAGTATAAGCTTGTATTTATTTGTCTGTGTACTGATTTAACACAATTGAGCCATAGGTGTATCCTACAACGCTTTGTTGAAGTAGACTCGGCTTGGAACCCATTGGGCTAAATGGTACATCTTTGGTTGAAAACGTGGCCTATTTCAGTATAATTTACTCTGTTCAGTAACTTTGGAAAATATTTTTTGTTTAAATCTGTCTTCCAAGACTTGTAAAGAGCTGTGCAGACAGCATTGGATCTCAGTTGTTTGGAAACCCTTTCTGATGAAATTTCTACTTGCCTGATTTCCTTAATTTTTTGTGTTTAACAGGCTTGTGTGCCAGTGTGGTTTACCACTATTCTAGTTGAATTATCTCCCATTGTGACCTATGCATGGCAAATGATTGCAAAGGCTGCGTTATACATGCTGTAAGTCCAGGAAAATTCTTTTGGTTAAAATGAGTGCCCTCCTTAGATAGGGATCTATATAATATTTTAAAATGAATAGTCTTACTAATTTATGCTGATATGCCCGTAGCTGCCACAAACTCAAGTGTAATGACGTAACACATAATTAGCTCATAGTTGTTTGATGTTTGTATTGACAGCTGGATGTCCGTACAGATCTGAAGAAGATGGGCGATGAAGAGCCAGAAGTCACAGATGTTGGTCCCGCCATGTTTTCATCAGGCCAGGTAAAGGTCAACACTACTCTTGGCTGAACTGTCAGCACGTTATTTAACAGCTACCCAAAAGTCAAGGTCACAAATGTCAAAGGTCAAATATGACTGTTGTTTGTCTTTTGTATCCTGGAGTATAGTCATGGTTTTGAGGGGACATGTGCTGCTTTATGATACACCGCAAAGAACATTCCTACTATATAAGGAACTATACAACAGGTCATACTGTAACTCAAAAACTAAGTTCCATAAGTGTGTACCTGGACAGATCTGATTTTCTCCTCCATTACTGGCATTAGACAGATATCCACACTTTCGATCAGGGAATGAAATCTCTGTTTTACCCCAGGGTAAACACAGGGGGATTCCTCTGTCATAACATTTGCTGGAAATTATGAAATAAAGGATTGCATTTCATAAAATTACCACTTGTATTTGATGTGAAAGAAAAATAATCATTCCCCTTTAGGTGTAAGACATAAAAATCTCAACCCTCGGGTTACGATTCTTAAATGTCTGGCCCTCAGCAAAGCCTCTGACTAGACAATCACACAAACTTCAGAAATAAAGTTTATGATACAAAGACATTGATTAACTCATGGGAAGACACTGTTATAAGATCAGACGACTTCAAGAAGTTCGTATATTAGGCGCATGTAATGCAAACTGATGTATTTTGTTTACCGAGCTCACCTGTACATATCACGTGCTAACAGTAGTTCACAAGCTCGGGGGCGCTACAACTTTTGTTGTCAGGCGAGTTACGCTCTGTCAGGTAAATCATTTCACAAATGCAATTACAATAACTCTGTGAAAATAGTGGTTTGTAAAATATCAAGATCCCTATCAAACGCAAGTGCATGTGCGTGCACGTAATAACGGCATACCATGTGATAGCCTATGGTTACAATATATACATGACATGTAAATTGCCATGCGTAAGCGGGCTATGGAATGATGTCCAAAGTGTGCATGATTGAGAGTAATTTTGTTCCATAAAAGAACAGTAAATTGATTATTTAATATAGTAATTTAATTTATTTCCATCGTTTTTGGTATAGTGAAGAATATAACTGTCATTGTATAAATTATATCTCTTTGCAAAAGTTCAGATTATTTCAAGGTAGACAACTCTCATCAGGATCAAAATTATTGTAAAATGTAAAATAAATGAATTTTAAAGACTTTGTGTGTATTTGGTTCAATTTTTCACTCTTTTTGTATGAAAATCTGTGTCCTGTTTGCTTTTAGCTTGTATATAATAACTTTTATCCATACAATTTCATTAAAAAACCACTTTGTGTAACATGTTGGAGATATTTTATGATAAATAAAATATTTGTAGGGTTGATTAGCAATGCTTCTTTTCATTATTTTATTGTTGTTATAGTTTTTAACAATGCCAGGCACTCAATTTTTCAGTATTTTTTACCAAAAAATTCCCAGCTTATCGGAATGCTTAGATTTTCTTAAAATCACCTCTACATAGTGACATAACCATTATGTGAAAATTTCATTGAATTCTGCTGGCTAATTGCAAAAGAGTGGATCCTCCTTAAGAATCTTACCCCTTGGGTTGAGATTTTTCTGTCTTACCCCCAAGGTGGGGTAAGATTACATACGTTCCTCTCAGAAATGTTTCACCATACTGTTTTGAGTAATCTGAGAGGTACAATCAAATCTGTACATGTTTCTCAGTTTCATGTCAGAACAGTGTGATGGTTATTGACACATATATGTGTTTGTCATTCCAGCAATCGGCAATGAATGGTGAAAGAATTCAGGAGTTCAACATGACCTCTGTTGACTATGCCCTGAGAGACCTACAGATGCCATCAAATAGCCAAAGGCGTCAAGAATCCACCTCCACTACCCAGCCACTGGAGCCAAAGTCTATCCCACCACAGTTAGCCAATACACTGGAACAGATAGTCGGCCAGTTGGACGTTCTAACACAGGTAGGGTTCTCTGGTATTAAATATAAAAAAAAAAGATAAATGATCTTACACAGGTAGAGGTGTCTGTTACTGTCCTACCACAGTTAAAGTCCTTACAGAGGTAGGGTTGTCNCTAAACACACCTGTTTTATCTCTTGGCGTCTCTGTCTTCGAGTAATAGTTAGGATACTTATATTTTTTTCCATCACTATATTAATGAGTTATACATTTATATTTATGAATAAGATCTGTATATGGAATTGTTTTGCAAATCAGTTTGCAAATAAATCTCATTATTTTATATACAGTGTATTCATGAATTGCTACTAAGAAACATGAAACAACACTTTAAAATATTATTTGTTTACCAAGACAAGCTGCTCATTATATTCAAATCGTTTTATTTTGAGTCTATGCAATAAGATGTTGAAACCTAACTTCACCAGTTGTACTTGAGATTACATCAAGTGAAACCTGTCCAATCCGACCTTTGTGCTTTCAGACTTCCTGTTTAATCCAACATAGTGCAACTAGACAAGTTAATTAGACAAATGTTGTTTCCCAAATGGTGTCAGATTAGACAGGTTTTACAGTATATGTAACTTTGAATCGTATTACGCAAGAATACTGTTGTTGGAACTTGCTAATAAAATGTTCCGTCCACATTATGCCTCTTATATTTTGACTGGATTCTCTCATTGGGGGCATACTGATGTCAAAAATTGATTTAAACATGAAAATCTCATTTGTACAAAAGACATACGTTTTGCGGGTCCCTTTTTTTTATATATATGAGTGTGAAACTTCCTTATAACCTGAGGCAGTGTATATATTGAGGTCTTACTACACTTATTAATAGTTTTGAAATATGACCATATAACAGTATACAAAGATTTCTAAAAATAGTAAAACAAAATGTTTTACCCCAGGTAGATTGTCTCAAAAAGCAGTTTATTTGGTACCAATCTACCCCTTTAATAAATAGAATCTGTCACTCCTGTTTTATGTACACAGTGAAATTTAAACCCGACAGTAAGATTTTTGAGGTTAAGTATGAGGCTGTGCTTAAACTAAAGTTTGATCAACACAGAACCACAGAAGATTTGAAGCCAAGTGCAAAATTAAAACAAAAAACTGATCCCGAGGGTGAAGGTTTTTCTTACCGTACATCACACAGGAGTGAATAATTATTTTTCTTTGCTACATCTACTAGAATAAATTTATATTAGATTAATATTTATGTAGTGCTAGTTTAGGAGATTGAACATTTGTAAAACAACATTTTAATGCTACATTCCTGTATTTTATAGTGAGTCTGTTGAAAGTCTTGTTTTAAACTTGGAGGTAGAAAGAAAAACTATTGAATTTTTAACTATGACAACAAGTATAATTTTTAATGCTTTATGGAATTGTGAATAGCAGTAAGTAAAGCTATTTATGTTATCAGCATTGTTTAAAATTTACCCCCCCTAAGAAATAATAATGATTTGCAAGACATTTGATATAAAACATTTCTATAGATCCATTTCTTGAATTATGAAAAACAAATATATAACGGTATGTTTTATTCTTTGGTTTTCTGATGCAGTATTTTTAGTGTATCAAGAGTACCTTTAAATTAAGGCCTGACTGATATTACAGAATTAAGAAAGATTTTAGGTCTTCAATTGCTTTTTTGGAAACCAAAATATTACAAACTTAATCAGTGGTTGTCTTTGTCCAAATTACCCATATAGAATAAGATTATCATTTTTCAGAAATTTCTCAACTTTTTAATTTCAAGTTTTAAAGAAAAGTTAATGAGTAAAGCAATAAGTTCTCTTTCTTTAGTAGAACAGCATAATAACATAACTGTTCATGCATTAAAATGATTAAACTATGGTTTCTTTTTTGATAACAATGCATGACGAATTTGCAAAGTTAATATTTACTTGAAGTGTGAAATTATTCTATCACTTCATTACAGCTTCCCTCATTTATATGTAGTCCACACTGATATTGTTTTGGTTGATCTGTTCACTTTCTTTAGGAAATTATGTGAAAATCTGTATTTTTTATGAAATATATATTTATTTATTGTAAATGAATTGTAAATGAATTGTAAATACAAAGAATGTAAATATTTGTATGATGTTGTGTGTATACAATATTGTACAAAATAAACATGTAAACAGTGAAGATTACAGAGTTGTTATCTTTTACTCTGTGTTTTGTATCTCTGACATCTTCTATGATCTGGCTAGTTTCTGATTCACCAGGACAGGGGCCAGGACCTTGTCAATTTATGCTGTGGTACAAAGTGGCGTCGGGCCTGTAGTGTTATCATTGCCCACAGGTACATCCATCCAGCTGAATTTTACATGAAGAGTAGTAATGGACTCTGGGACTGTACTCACGCAGCATCACATGCTTATGTACCTTATGAGCAGAACTTGATTCACAACATTTTTGTAACATTGGTTATGTTATTTCATTTAGGTCAGTTATATGGACTAAGGACTGCAGGTAGGGTCCCGTAACTTCACGTGCTAATATAATGCTGTACTCTACTCGATGAGTACAGCATGTTGATCTTTATAAACTTGAGCTTTGACCTAGCTCAATTCATAGAGGCTGCGGTGGCCAAGTGGTTAAGGCGTCTTGTATTCTACTACCACTAGCCCTCCACCACTGGGTCTCAGGTTCTAGGCCTATGTAGGGCAGTCGCCAGGTAACTGGCCATAAGTCGGTAGTTTTTCTCCGGGAACTCTGGCTTTCCTCCACCACCACAACCAGGCATGTCCTTAAAAACACAAACAAACCAAATCAATTCATAGGTATTTGAATCGGTGAAGGTCGCCATCATACCTTCGCGAAATCTCGTAAATGTAAAGGTACACGAAATGTAAAAATAAATCCATAATATATATTGCTTTTGGATATACTGACTAAAAGTGGCATACATTGTAAGTATTGGTCCGAAGTGATACATAAGGTACATATGTATCTGGGAAGAAAGAGAATCTGAAACAACGTTTTGAAGATGAAACTACTACAAGTTTTCCTCTCTTAACAATCAAGGACCTATTTTACGGGTCCTGTTAATATAAAAAATGTTTTCTCTGTTTTAACAATTTTAATAGGGAAGCAAATCAACACTTCTGCAAAAACGTGCCAGGCATCAGTTAATTTTCACATGCAAATTGTGGTGTTCTGTGTCATCACGTGTAAGCTCATTTCATCTTATTTGCATTGACCTAAACCCTTGTACACAGGTTATCCTATAAGGAAGATAGTGTTTGAACTCTCAATTATGAAGTAGGTCATCTGAAATAAGTGATAACTTTTTAGAAGTGCCGTACATCTTATCAAAGAATCAACCAGCCTTCGCTCTCAATGTTTGTCTCATGGATGACCCTGGCTACAAAACTTGGAGAGATTGGTCAACGAACATTTTCTCAAAATCCATACGTGTTTTGTTTCATTTCTTTCTTCTTCAGTATATTTACCGTTTTGGGGTTAAGATGAAAACTGATATCTTTTGTAATTAAATGTTCCGTTCTTTTTGGCGTTTTTCAGTCTAGTATTTCAAAAACCTTTCATTTTGTAGAACAAGCATTGAATATACTTTCATATAATACTTTATTCTCAGAAACATTCTTTGGAGACAAAGTGACTGCATTTATAGATGGTACATATATTTATATTAAAAATAGTGCTGACCATAAGCTTCAGAGAATGTTTTACGGTGGCCAAAAGGAGCGTGATTATCATTTATTATTCATGACCATAGTTCTACCTGATGACTACATTTTGGACACAGTAGGACCATTCCCTGGAAGCCAAAATGATGCACTCATTACAAAAAACATCATAGACAAGCTCACATGGTTGGAGCAAGACGACAATGTAGTCGTTGATCGTGGGTTTAGAGATATCCTGTCAATGTTAGAGGCATATGATATTAACACCAGTATGCACTCGTATCTTATCTATAGGCTAACAATGACAGAACAGCTACTAAATTGCTTCATTGTTTCTACTTACAAAAACAAAGTGTTTGGCTCAGAGGGTGAAAACAACCAGCTCTCTCCAAGAGAGCAAAGTCAAAATTCGTAAAGATTATGAAAAAAGGGCGAATCAGCAATCATAAGACCTCATAAAAGTCAGATAAATATGATGTAAAGATTACTACTGCCAATGCCCAGTTGGTCAAAGAACTATTGGAATGTGTGCCTATACATTAATAATATTTTATTTTCTTGGCTATTATAGCAATCTTAAAAATCCACAACAGTTGCACCCAAGGGCTAAGAAGTTCCGAAAAAGCTTGAAATAAATTGTTTTCTTGTGAATCTAGAATCACCAGTTTGAAAACAAACTCAAAGCCTCGCATTATTATTTTCTTCCTTCTTTTTTCCAAGTCTGCCATTCGAACACATTTCATACTCTTGCATCTTGCGAAACGTTATCTGTTAATGTGATCAGCTGTTAATACGGCGTCTAACTTTAATATGTATGTATAGGAACAAAGTAACAGACAAACATACAAAATGCTTAGACTATACACATAGCCATGAATTCTGATGTATAGACCATATTGTCATTTGATCCCTTCTTTCAATATGTTCCACCACATATTTTGGATTGATATTTTTGTCACTGGTAGTTCATGACCTAGTCCCTCTATAATCAAAATATTTTTGGTATACAAAAGTAGTAAGATACTTATTCTAAGATGAACACATTTATTGCCTGGAAAATATAGATGGCTTCCGGCTGTTGATTTGTCTGTACATATCTGTTAACTAACCATAAGCAAGACATTTTTACATGTATACTGTAGCATATGATCCCTAGTTTTGGTTTCATAATGAATGACCCTTAAATGCATTGTTAGTTTGACAACATTCGTCTTTTGGGGGAAAACTCCGCCTTTTTGAGAATTTCAGTTTTATGCTTCTACGAAAAACGAACGAAGTACCCATTTGAATTTTAAAAGATGTTTTTGCTGTGACAAGGTTTTGGTCTACATCTCACCAAAAGAAAATTGAAATCAAAGGAGGGACTATTTTGGAAAAAAACCCTTTCTACGATTGGTTGGAGATGGTAAAAAAGGCGGTGACGTTGATGTTATATATACCTACATATAGACTTCATAAAATCATAAGACTAAGTTTCACACCGCTTCTGCTGAACATGTGAAAAAACCTATGAGATAAGTAAACGAATAATATACAGGATAAAAAGAGTTTGTAAAAATGTCTTCGTGAACGGTAAAGCATGAAAGGTGTACGCAGTATTGAGTATTAGCGACATACCACAAGGCAGTGTCCTTGGGCCGGTACTGTTTGTCGTAAGATACAGTACAATTTCAAAGTAGTTCATAGCTTAAGTCTTCGGATCAATATACACTAGTGTTTATGAAACATTGCGTTGGATAATAACAAAGAAACACAAGTGACGAAGGATGACTATTAATAACTTGCGCCCTGTCCGAGCCTACGACCTACGATCGCGACATTAAATCGACCATCCTAGACCGCAGCTGTTTACAAGGATTAGGATGCTCGTCGGAAATGACCAGGATTATGGCTACTTCAGTTCCATCCACATAAGTGCAAATTTCTTACAATAAATCGAAAAAATAATAAAGCGTTAAGCTAGAAATATATATACGTATATCATGTGAAAAGCCTTGGAAGTAACCGTGGACCGCGAAATCTTAACTTTACAGGTCATATACAACAACAGGTACGCACCGTTAGTGGAATCAATGAACTCATTTGGAAGTCTTTTATATATTATCTAAGCGAAAATGTGTTCTCTCAGTTATTTAAAAAATCCTAGTTTGACCACATCTGTAATACAGTGTGTGTTTAGTTTGTGTCCATCCTCGATACTCCAGGGGTTACGCACACTCAAGCTCTCTGCACCCCTGGAATATGTCGTAGCAAAATAGCTATTTGATTGGTGTCAGGTGAGAAACCTGACGAATCACCAGGCTTAAATTTGATACCTGCCTTTGAAGATTACAGAGGAGCGACATTAGACTTCAAAGTCATACAAGTTACCGTTACACGACCGTGATATTCCAAGAAGCTTGCGCATTATGAGCCTTCGATTTTACTATGACATATTCCAGCGGTGCAGAGAGCGAAAGTGAGCGTAACCCCACCCCTGGATATCGAGGAAACCCCTGGAGTATCGAGGATGGTTTTTAACCCAGTTTGGAACCACATAATTTTATTAACGAGCTGTAAGTACTCTGATATTTTTCACTAGAGGCATAACTGCCTTTTTGGGGGAAACATAGGTGATTATATCTGCCATACACATTCCCATCTCTATGGTAACAAGTAAGACACATGCTACTGTAACAATACCACACCAGAGTGTTCTACTGTGTCAGATACTGCCAGCGTACTGGTTTTGGCGGTGATATTATTTTAGCGCCACTGATTCGCTTATCTCAGATGTTCTAGTTTACGTACAACGTTAACGCTAGCTATATAAATACATGTATACGGCTGTATGTCTACTCTAGGGAGGAGTCGGTGCACAAATCGATGAAAGTGCAAATGGAATTAGATATACATGTAAGAGCTTAATTTACCAAAGATCCAGAGTTCATCCAATACATCCGTCAATAACAACCGACCGGTTCCCGTTGAGCTATATTTAACAGCCTCCCGTATATCACGCACGTATTGATATATGTGTTGTAGAAGACTCTGTATCTTACATGATGTAACAAGCATTTACATGTATTATTATAGTAAGATTGAATAGCGATGCAATAAACAATTGTATGTACAGTCGTTTATACAAGCATTAAGCTTGGTTTCCTCTGCCAATGTGGCCTCATTGCATAGCTGATGTTTATTTATACTTGTATAAAACAAACACTATCGGACTGTTCAGAGCAAAAACACATTAATTAAATTACCACACTGTCATTCCAGTGGTATCCGATACGAGTCAACACAAGTTGCGTCCCTTGTACGTAACCAACCGACAGGATGCGTCAGACGGTCCTACCTGGGTTTTTGGTGTTTCTGTTAAATTTCGGACACGTAAAGTCCAGTTCGACTGACCAATACAAGGAAGTATGTAAGTATACGCATGCATGTTTGTTATCTCACTAAATGCACGTCGGCGTCGCGTTCTAGCACATATATGCTTTTATACGCTGCTCCGATACTTCATGCGCTGTGTGTGTGTACGCCGAATCACATGACCCGAGTAAAGACAGTTCTAAACTGTGTTGGTGCAGAAGGCGATGCCTCGGCCTCTGTCTGTGATACTGATAGGGGAGAACTCAATCAATATATTGACACACGTACACAGATAGAAAAGTCATAGGGTTTTACTTTATTCTTTAAGATTTTCAGCGGCATCTTGTTTCATCTCGTGTTCATCATGGTATTTTTAAGCCTATTTATAATGTGTATTAAATTGTACGCAACTCATAGATAGTATATGGAAGGGGGAGGGGAGGTAATGGACGCGCGTCGGGAGGTCCGTTCAGGGTTATTTCACTTAGAGCAGAGGTAACACGCGCCCCATTATACGTCACTCCAGTGGACGATTAAACGAATGGCAATTAAACGAATGGAACATTAGTGTTATACAAAATAATGTTCAGATAAATACAAAAAGTTCACGTTTATGTTCTGGAATGCGTATATCAACCCACTTCAAAAGGAATCTATATTTGTAGCATGCTTTTTCCCTTGGCGAGATGTTCTATTTTTCGACACACACTATTTGAAATTAACCATATGTTTGTGCATAGTTTGTAATAGCACCACTGTCCGACCGTGCTATAGGGTCATAGAGTCAAGGCTGAATTGAGACGTACTTTTAGTCGTATCTTCCTTAACAGGGGATTCTGCCAATCGTCTCCGTAGATATTGTCAGAATTTTCCTAATTCCCTTTAGTTTGCATAGATATGGTCAAGATGTGGTTAGGGTTTCCTCCTAATGACCTCGACATGGTCGCAGTTTCAAACTGCTGCTATCGATGTTTCCGGAATAAGGCTAAAACTCGTTCTAAATTTAAATTGATAACAGAAGGATAATATGTTAAGACTGTAGTTTTTATTTGAAAATTAACCCAATTAGTGAATTATTGATGTTTGAATATTATGTTTACACGAATGTGCTTATTATAATATACAGCTTTCCTATTATATACATATGTTTATTACATCTGTTGATACAAATTCTCTCAGTGACAAATATATATATTTTTAGCTTATACCACGGACATATACCGTTTCCGATTATTTTAAAAAGAAATCGCATCACATGAAAAATAGAAGCTAAGTAGTATATTGTACTTTTGAGAGTTCATACATAAATATACAGTCTTACCTGTGTTCGGAGACCACAGCGGTCTCTCATTGCAGGCGACCACTGAATACAAGTTCAAGGAACCTGAATCGAACTGGATGAGAATATAAGAGATGTTCTTTCAAGCAGGCTTCCCTGTATTGTGAATGAGATCAAGCTCTTTCACAGAGAGGTTTCCCTCGTTTGAGTTACAACTATTTTCATTAAAAGTAGCGTGTTTATCGCTGTAATATCACACTATACAGGCCAAACTCGTGCGGTCTTGGGATGATAAATAACGCTGTTTATAACACCAGCCAAAATTGATTCCACCCTACTCTACTGCCTACTGTATAAAACGAGTATATTAATTGAAGTCTGTGCAATTACCAATGTACAAGGCGTCTTAATGGATAGTTTGGCACGGGAGGCCCCTCCATTACGCGTGAGGCGATGACATATCTTGCTCTAGGTGTGTGGAGCGTGAGGCGATGACATATCTTGCTCTAGGTGTGTGGAGCGTGAGGCGATGACATATCCGGCCCTAGATGTGTGGAGTTGTGCGGTGGGCGTATTACGATGGTATTGTAGCGTTATACACTGCATTTAAAAAGGCTTATAGGCCTTTATCCTATTTATGAAGAACTACAGGTTGTAATGTTCATAATATACGAAGCTAAACAGCCTCATATATCGTCCCACCAGACTATAAACTTGATATACGGACCACAACCTGTCCAATGTTTCAGACGGTGACGAACAAACGACATCCCGGTTGGTTTGACCACACACAGGTTTCCTTGTAATAAAATTAAGTAACCGAACCAATGTTCGCTCGTACGTGTAGATCCGTGGTTTAGGTTTCTTTCCATTGTCCCATTTTCTCTGTAGATAATGTCAGGTTTCCTTCCAGCCGTTTTATTTTTTTAACGAAGCCATCTTGTCCCAATTTGTCCAATGTCTAAAGACTAATGTGTTTATAAGACCAGATGACATTCCGATAGATACAATTGTAAAAAAACCTCAAGTCATGTTTTCTTTCACTAGTACTTTCTTATACAATTACACAACATAGACAATGATTCTATTTATTTTTCTATTACAATGTGTTTGTGCCTTTGTTTTTGTTTGTCTTTAAAACACAACCATTAACTGAGCTAAAACTTATAAATAGCAAATGTTTTAGTCGAGTAAAAATATATGCAAAAATTACGAGTTTTTACCATGCATATTGATCAAATTATTAGCGGTTAAAAATGTCGTTAAACAATGATTAAACTAGCTAGTCACCTTAAATTGGGCGCTGATTCTTAGTGCAGGGTCTTTATATCAGGAACGCCCCATATGAAGAATCGACCTACCGAAATTGTTTTAGTGTACAATGTACATCCTGTCTACAGAGAATATGTTGTAGACTTCAAAAAGCCGACGAATACATCTGTTTTTACTCAAGAAGGAGTAAATAAATAATTTCTGGTAGCATACACAGCTTCAATTGTTCGCTATAAATACACAGCAGGAATGCATGATATAGTTCAACAAGGGAAATTGATGTTATATATATATATATATATATATATATATATGATGGTACCATATAATCTAGGAGGTGCACTGTCCCACTAACACTTCTCAGATCTCGCGTATTCTCGTAGTAACTGTTAACCCTATTACCGAGTTGCCGTTCCCTCTAGTTCTCTCCTTTGAATTATCAGTACACAAATTTGTTCTATGGTGTTCTTTTGAACTACATATCAAGGATACCGCCAGCCGGCCTTGGTACTTGTCAAAATCAGTGTTATGTTTGTATTTTGGTACTAAAGTTGGGGCCAATACATTCCGGAAAAATCAGCACACTGGAGAACTATACTGGGTACAAAACAAGCATTGAAATAAACATTAAGAGAACATTGCGATACATGTAAACTGTAGTTTTGAATTAACGGGAGGATGAAGGTTTAACGCAGGGCAAATTAGTTAAAAAAGGTTAGAGGGTGAAAATGAAAAAAATCGCGGGCAAAAGCAAATATAATTACTCTATATCAAAAAGGATTTATTTAATAAATGATTGTTAAAATGATAAAGGATAGGGGTTAGACTCGGCCCCGGTAGAACATACGATGGCAATCGGGAACCTTCGGCACTTTCCGTAAACGAGTATTTTCTCGTTTACGGAAAGTGCCGACAGTTCCCGATCGATACCTCGGATGTCAAATGGATCAATCGGGAACTGGCGGAACTTTCCGTAAACGACGTTTTCCCGATTGACAAATGGATTAGCAGTCTCGTTCAACCAAAGGCTTGATCACTTGTAATTCAAGAGTCTGGTCAAACACAGTACTTTAGAATTACCATCACTAGAGGGCAGTGTCTTCACTTTCGTTTCCGGACGTTATGTCAACGACGTTAAAACGTTTCAAAGAATATGGAAATTAATGAAAAAAAAAGCTTTACATGCATTCCTGAAGTATCCGTGCATTCACTATTATCGAGAACAATTTAAGAAAATGTCAATTCTCAAGAATAATGTCATATATTTCCACCTAATAAATTATAACTGAGCACAAAGCCAACAAGGCTGACTGAGGTTGAAAAAAAGCATGCAAAGAAAGTGAGATTTTACCTGTATTACCTCGAAACACGACAGGTTCTCACTCAGGTAATCTGGCTTGATTTGTATCAATAGCCTTATTAGTTTTATGACTACATGCAATCATTCTTCAGATTTGAGGCATTTTCTTACATTTTTCTAGATAAAATTGAAAACACCGGACACCGGATGCTTCAGAAATGCTTGTACAGGTAGTTCTGTTCATAAATTGAAATATTCAATGCAATTTTGCGCCACTCAAATTCTGACTTCAAAGGTTAAAAAGGGGTGTCTGGTTGAACGAGACTAATGGATTAGGGACACTGATAATTCGGCTAACCTCGGCTGATTTCGGTACCCTTCATCAATTGATTTAGGTACGGACAGAATCTGCCGAAATGTGACGAGTGAGAAACTGACGTCAGCTTATCCATTATTTGCCGGATACGATACTGAATAAAGCGAACCATTGAAAGACATTAAATTTCAAAATACGGTATTGCTCCTATCTTTTATTTGTTAGAATGTTTGTTACAGTTACTATGACGAAAGACTGTCTATCCCATGATCGGCGGGGACCTCATTACCTCACACAGTACGAGAAGTACCTGGTCACGTGGGACGGCGAAGACTTCTTCATCTGTATGGTGCTGTTTGAGGCCAGGAACGAGGCTAACGTCGACACTGATTACAATGTCTGCTTTAGGATGCTGCAAAACAACAACTTTACTGACTGTGGCGTCAAACTCAAATACTACAGCACGAATAAGGACGGCTTCAAACCAGATATTGTAAGTCGTACCATATAACATAAAACCGGCTTCAAATCGGGTGTTGTACGTCGTGTCATACCGTCAGGGCAGCTTACAACTATATATCGTGCATATTATAAGTTATAAATCATGGCTTCGAACCAATTTAATATCATACAATATAGAACAGCTTCAAATCATGTACTGTTGGTAACATCAATCAGATATCATACACGTACAGAATTGCTTCAAACCAGATGTCATATGTTATAGAACGGCCTCAAACCAGATGTCATATGTTATAGAACTGCCTCAAACCAGATAGCATACGTTATAGAACGGCAGATAGCATACGTTATTGAACGGCTTCAAACCAGATATCATACGGTATAGAACGGCTTCAAATCAGATATCATACGTTATAGAACGGCTTCAAATCAGATATCATAAGTTATAGAACGGCAGATATCATACGTTATAGAACGCCTTCAAACCAGATATCATAAGTTATAGAACGGCTTCAAACCAGATATCATACGTTATAGAACGGCTTCAAATCAGATAGCATACGTTATAGAACGACTTCAAACCAGATATCATAAGTTATAGAACGGCTTCAAATCAGATATCATACGTTATAGAACGGCAGATAGTATACGTTATAGAACGGCTTCAAACCAGATATCATATAATAAAGAACAGCTTCAAACCGAATACTATAAGCAAAACGGCCTCAAACCAGACAATGTTAGTCACTATCATACAATATAAAAACGACTTCAAATAAGATATACATGTAGTTATTAACATTACTCGATACAGGACGGCTTCAAGTCGAATTTATTAAGCAATACCACACAATACCGGGTGGCTACAAACCGGATATTTTGAATATACCGTAATTATTTACAAAGCGAAAATAATCGATCAAGAATTTAAATGATTCGGGGAACATATCTATGACACGTCCAAAATCTCGAAAATAAACAATCGCGAAAAATTGATTTGCAATACAAAGTTAGAACTGTTTGCAGACAACAGTCATTTGATAGAGTAGTGGTGTGTACAACAGCTGATCATGTGTCTGCTGACATTTAAACAACTACATGAAATAACACCACTTATATTTCGGAACACTACGATAATGTTTCCACGGCATTCGAGTAAATCACCTAATAATTTTAACACAAACTGTGACGGAACTCTTGACGCCGATAAAAATAGTGCGCCCTCCTTCCTGCTGGCTAAAAGATAACCAGCATGTACGTACTCTACCAGACGATAACCCTCCCCTAGAACAGGCTATGGCACACTGGGTTACATTAGGTACAGTAATTAACTCAGTCCCTCTGGTATGTTTATCGTATAAAATACCTGATTTAAAATCTTTCTTTGATAAAAAAAAAAATGTACCACGCACGTGTAAGAGTTTTTGAATGAAAAACATTGGAAATAAACTTCATTATAATTGATCGGTCAAAATAAGTTGAAAAAGAAATATGGTTTCTCCAATGTAATACAAAATGGAAAAAAAATCACTGTTTTGTTCAAACATGTTCATTGTTTTTCGTTCGATGCTCATTGCATTTCGATTCTAAACATTATTCTATGAATATGACATAGAAAACGCCTCAATCCATCTTTTTTTAACTACATTTTATTTCATAGCGCCTTGCTTGGCATACCTCACTTTTGGCTTTAATGTTGAACTTTCGCCCAGGTAAGGAAGACAGTCCGAAGGCCGGGACATACCAAAGTCCTTAAAAATGGTAGTTGTTATTCCCTGCTTGACGTTCAGCATTTAGGGGAATGGCAGCAACTGGTTGACCCATTCTGTCCGAAGGCCGGAACGTACCAAAGTCCTTAAAAATGGTAGTTGTTATTCCCTGCTTGACGTTCAGCATTTAGGGGAATGGCAACAACTGGTTCACCCATTGTCAGTATAATGTGACCGAGCGGATTGATGTGCTTGGTGCCTTCGGCATGGTATTACAGTGAGATAGCACTTTAAAGTCGGCATCAGATCCGCGCTATTACAAGGAGGCATGTCATCCATCAGCTGCCATGGATAGCGCTAGTCGTAACCAGAAAATTTGTAGAAAGAGTTCTCATTGTTGATGAATACCAGTTACTTGTCACTGAGTGAGGCGTATACTTATAAATATTATCAAGAGTAAAGACATTGATATGTAAAAAGCATCTGTGACGCTAGTTTAAGCATTTTATTTACAAAACTCATCAAGAAATGGTATATACTATTTTTGTTCCAAATAGGTACACAAGTTAAATGGTAAATCGCTTCCTGTGTTAACAAGCACATGTTTACCCTAATCTTGATATTTGAGGATAAATAATTAATTTACTTTTATGAATCTTTATACCATCCTCTACAGATATACACATGTGGCCAGAACGTGCCTACAGAATGGTGTAGCACGAGCCGGGAGGGTAGACTATACCTGTTTACCTTAGGGGCCACAAATACCTCATTTCGGATCGAGGTCGTCGCTTATGCAGGTGGGTAAATAATTATAATGCAATTAATATATATATATACACACCATAAATTGGCACGTGCATTGTTGTGTTATCACGGGATATATACTAAATTTAACCTAAAATTGTATTATCTTTATCTATTTTTTGACTTTGAGAAAAATAACGTGAGAAATAAATATAATTACAGGTAATCGGAAGAAGCATCCTTCAATGTTTTGGGAATTAAATATAGAAGGTTTCACTGTGTAGGTGTGACTTCAAGGTTATATGTCCCATTACACGTCATACATATGGTTTGTGTTTGAGTTTTTTTCTTTTAATTAAAATAATCTTCCAGTTCAAAAAATCTTCAAAAATTTCAAATATGGTTAAGTCATCAGTTTAATTATCCGAAGTTCATGCATACACTTAATAAAAGGCTAAGATCTCTTTTAAAGAGGAGAATTATGATAGTGAATGTTTTCAAGCACTTAGCAAAGCTACATTTATGAAAAATACCCTGTTTTTCCTCTCCAGGTGTGAGTCTGTCCAAGTTAGCTTGTGTAGGTATAGCTATAGTGTCTGCTGCCACTATCGTCTTCCTCATCATCATAATCACGTGGTCTGTACGCAAGCGCAACGTACGCAGTGACGACACAGGACAAACCTTGAAAGTCGCGAGCTCGCTACAAAAACCGGAAGAGGAGCAACACCTAGATCAGAAGTAGGTAATACGCTTGTTTGCTGTTAAACATGGTTCTCTCCCGGTAGTTGGATTTTTAACTATAGGTGGCGTTGACGTCAGTCGCCATTACAACCCAAGATTCAGTGGAGCTAGAGTTGACGTTACCAATTATGTTGTGGTTGCCATAAATATGTTTTTGATACGTTGAAGTGTTTTTAATGAAAGTTTTGATTTTTGATTACAATCGAACCAAAAACACAAAAAAATCAGCCCAGAATGTTATAATGCTTTGTCATTGCTCTAACGACTTCCTGTTTACAGCGAGACTGTATTTTTAGACAAGACTACATAAAAATGGAAAGTGAAATGTTTCTAAACATTTTTTTCTTGTTGTTAAGTATGGATTATGGAAAGTTCTTTTTACACAACAAATAACATTTGCTATGTTACGTTTCGATGACAAGTGTGATGAGTACACTGTCACCTTCATCAGACAAATGACCAGTGAAGCGTATGCACACAACGACATAATGCCCTTCCTAAACACTCTACTGGTAAGGAAAGAAGACGGAACCGTGAAGGTATTGGTCTATAGAAAAAAGACCCATACATGTATCACCATCCTTTACACCAGAAGTTAGGAGTCGTACGCACATTGCTCAACAAATGTGATACACTATTTGCAGAACAACAGGACAAAACACAAGAGCAAAATCACATCGCTAGGGCAATGGGAACATGTGCATATCCGGCATGGGCCCTAAAACGTGTACACAAACAGTGTCAAAGTAAGGGGAAGAACAAGAAAGGGCCAATCAAGGATAAGAACAAAACCAAAGGTCAAGTGGTCATCATGTATATAAAGGGTATATCCGAAACCACCCAGATGATTTATCGCGGTCATGACACAGCAACAGCCATGAAGTCCCACAAGACGTTTCGCAATATTCTAGTACACCCTAAGGAAAAAACACCTAAATAAAACGTCGCAGAATGCGTATTCAAAATCGGATACAAAAATTGCGACGCATCGTATATGCTGGAAGCCGATTTGGGGTCCGCCTTGGTGAAGACCGTAAATATACAGAAACCCAAGAAGGTAGGAAATTCACCAGATCAGAAAGGAAGCAGTCGGAGTCCCAGATAAACAAATCGGCAATCACAGACTATGCCAAACAAAAAAATGCACGTGATTGATTGGGATAACTCCAAAGTTTTGGACAGAGAGAGAGAGAGAGCAATCTGTTCAAGCGGCAGATAAAGAAAGCCATCTGGATACGCCGCAGTGGGCCAGTTCTAAATCGAGACGAGGGGGCTAAAAGACTCTCGCACATCTATGACCAAGTTTAATCAAAGCGTAGCTGAATCTAGTCATTTCGGTACATATATAACAATTATTGTACATACGCTTACAGCGTAGCCGAATCGATATCGATGTTGTGGACAACGCGTACACATTTTACACCTTTGTGTGCATACGCTTCACTGGTCATTTATCTGATAAAGTGACAGTGTACATATCGTACTAGTCATCGAAACGTCACATAGAAAATTATATTGTTTGTGTAAAAAGAACTTTGCATAATAATTGAAAGTGAAATTAAAGAGAAGATTTACCTAAACGGCTAAGCACGAGGACAAAATCAGAACTCAAAGTCTTATAATTCAGTTCGAGCAACCGTTGAGACAAGAAATCACAAGGAAAGACCTGACGAAACCTTCACAAACCCGGATGTGAATCCGTGATTTAGATGTGTCTCCTGCCCCACAGTCTCACCTATCATGTTATTTCCCGTAACGTTCAAGGAAGTAGGTCAACAGCGATCTAGGTCACCGTCCTTAATCATCGTAAACAGCGACAGGCGAAAAAATCAATTTCTACAAATCCAATAAGATACCATTACTTTCTCCCAGTGTTAAGCTACTGCCCGTGCAATCTTTCATGTGTTGGCTCTGACACAGAATTCAGGAAGTAATACACACAGACCAAGTATTTAAGCATCTAAAACGATTCATTTAATTGAAATATTTCCATCAAACAAGCTGATATTTAGTCCGCTGTTTAAGTGACTGAAAAGGGAAGAAACACGCATTCTAGCTTGGAACATCGATTTTACATGTTTTCCCACTCAAATGCTATTAAAATCTGCGGTATCCCTTGAAACGTTATCTATGTTTCAACTCAGAAACCTTGCTAGACATCACATTTTGCTATAGCGGATCTGGATACTAGCACTCTAACACATTTTCATCTTTCATCAGCAGCCTGTTCAAATACAGACCAAGGAGGCTGCAGCTCTATGCTCTACTGACATTGTTTACACACACGTTCACACGACAAACGTAATGGCAATGGGTAGCTGTCCTTATTCACCACACCACCGACTCGTTGTAATAATGACATATTTCCGGAATAATTGGATAGACTGGTTAAATGTTAACAGCACTGAAGGGCACTTACAGACGGACACATCATCAAACAGGAACCAGTTATGAAATTGTTACAACACTTAAGATAACAACACGTCTTGTACTGCTACACTCTGTTTTGGTCTGATTTCACCCAGTGATACCTAAGCGTTTGTGTGTAAAATACAATTTCATACAATGCCGTTACTTCGCGGTTGGCACTGACTACTATCTTGTCCATCATAAACAATCACCACAAGATTTGATAGACATTACTATACAAACTGTTTCAACCGTTTGTTTTGTACATGTAGATGCGATATCAGTATTTATGGTTATGTCCGCTGGGAGCTAACTGCGACCGATCTGACTGACATGTATTTGTACTCTTCGGAGGATGGATTCATGCAAGGGCTATTAAAAGGAATATGCAATAATTGCCCGAAAATTCAACTTACATCAGAACACTTGTCAATGGTTTTCCATTGATTCAAAAAAAAGCGTAAACTAACTGCATCTTATTTGTCCTCCATGACTCGAAATTAACCAAACCACAAACTCCCCGGCTTCCTATCTCACATTAACCTACATTTGAACACAAATGACCACTTGACTACTAAGTTCTATGACAATTATGACAACTCTTGTTTCACAATTTCCCTATTCTTCACTTTCCTTTCTAAAGTTGAAACAAGCCAACCCCACTACTGAAGAGGTTTACATAACACAGTTGATAAACTAATTCGAATCATGATTTTCTGGAAAGGTGCGTGCTGTTGATTAATAAACTGCTAAGTAAGGGTTTTTCTTACCGACGCTGCGGACATTTTACGATCGTCATCAACCACTTCCCAGGTTCAACCGTTGTTAAATATTTGTCAATATAACTAGCGAGTAGTTTCGGGCTAGTTTCATGCTATCCTTTATTTCGTATTTCCTCATTTCATAGTTTTGTCTGTTTGTATCAACATTTACTTTATACTTTGTTCATGTGTGCCTGGCTATTGAAGTTGTATCTCTTCTATTTTCTTCATATGTGAGTACCTATATTTCAAAAATCTGCACAATTTCTTTAAGTAACATGTGCTATATAGACATGACGATTTTGAACTGAAGTTTGTTCGGCTGAAGTGTTCTGAAGTTTGAAAAAATAAATTACCTTGACCCACATTCAAGAATACAGGAGTCAAATAGCTTAAATGATTGAAATGACTTCTTCTTAAGCACAAATTGATCAATTTTCATTAAAAAGGACTGTCATCTTTACAACAATGTTCTTTACTGTCCTGAAACGGCGTAATTATATGATACTGGGAATGTATCTCAACACATAAAGTTTATATATTTTTATTTGTGCTATTTTTGTATAATGTAATGAGACATTCTGTAAATAACTGCGCAAAGCATGATTGTTATTTACGTGTTTTAAAAGTTATTTCAGGCTTGTAATTTTTAGGTCACCTGAGACAAAGTCTCAAGTGACCTATTGCGATCGCCTTTTGTCCGTCGTCGTCCGTCGTCCGTCGTGCGTCCGTAAACAATTTACATTTTCGACTTCTTCTCCAAAACCCCTGAACCAATTTCAATGAAATTTTGCAGGGACCTTCCATGGACAAAGGTCAACAAAAA